GATGTGAAATATATATTTAAAAAAAAATATATATATATATATATATAAAATATATATAAAATTTATAGAATATATATAAATTGTTTATTCATATTTGCCATTGTCATTTTTTTGTAGTTACAGTTTTATTAATTTTGATGTGCATTTTTGTCATTTTTATAATAAAAAAAATAAAAATAAATGTTATTTCTATTTTTATTGGGCACTATCTACTCTCATTGTAGGAAGAAAAGCAGCATGAATGTCCTGCTCCTAACATACAGTATATGTGTGTTTATCTGTGTTCATGGTCTCAAAGCTCAACTGAAAGGGCGATGGGATGTTTCCTCACCTGCAGTGGACAGAAATGGGTCCGTCCTGTCCAAACTGCTCCTTAGTTTTATGCACCTGTCCGATGAAGTCAATGAAGCCCTCTCCTGATTTGGGAACGCCCTGCTCCGGCCAATCGGTGAACTGGAACTGCCGAACGGTCCTGGACTGGCCGTCCTGAGAGATAAACACGAACACTAAACGTCAGTCTCTTTCACTCCCACAATCCTTTACTGCACACAACAGCAGTGGATGGATGGCTTCATCCGGACGGAGGCTGACAGCCGTGCCGATACGGGATTTAACAGGCCCGAGTGACTCTGCTGCTAATCGATGGGCTGGAGAAGCCCTGATGGATGAAGACGAGAGCGACGGCCAGGACAGAGAAACAAGCGATCGAAGGGAAGCTCAGGCAGAACCAGGCACAATTAAAAGCCGAAGGGGCCGGAAATATTCACTCATCCCTACAGTCAGAGTCCGACGGATCAAACACACTTAATCACAGTCTAACGCCGGACTTTCCGGATCACAACCGTTACATAGCAGACAAAAAACAAAAACTCCTCTACATTTCTATTTCCTAATGCTGGTGATTTGTTTTGTTTTTGTTTGCTTGTGTTAAGAAAGAGATCAAAACACAGTTCAATTCATCAAAAATAAAAACTTAATTATTTATTATTAATTATTGTAATTATTAATGCGTTTATCAATTTATGTATATTTTTATATTTGTTTTATGTATAATAATTTTAAATATTAACATATTAATAATTTTAAATAATAGCATTATTAGCATTAGTATTACTGTTTTCACCACATGATTTACCATTTTTATTAGATATATGCCATGATAATTCCATGACATTCTTTGCAGTAAGTACCATGGCATATAAATGTGGTAATACTATGGTGTACAGGAAAATACCGTGGCATTACCATGTTTTTTTCCCTTATGATGCCAAGAAAACATGATATTCTTTGAAATGCCTTGGAGTACCAGGGTATGTAAAAATGGTAATGTTTAATACCACAATATCAAAGTACTACAGTATTGAGATGATTTCATACATGGTACCATGGTAATACTGTGTTTTTGGATACATCCCATGTTAATACCATGATAATCTTGGAAATACCTTGGAGATACTTTAGGGTAGTATTTCCAAGAAACGTCCACAATAACATGGTAGTACCATTTTCGTAAGAACACCATAAAGTACCTTGAGGTACCATGTAAAAGCCTTACAAAAGGTATATGAACATGGTAATCATTCAGTACCCAATATATTTTTGTTGTATTTCAGGACTCACCCGAGCATCCGTCACTTTGAACTCTCTGAGGATGTACTGCGGCATGTTGTACTCCGCCATGGGATCCACCACAAAGTATTGATATCTAGCGGAGCGCTCTGCTGGCCAGTACTGGTGACACTTTTCCTGTGAAAACACACGAAAACATCATTAAATGACATGATCTGGAAGCTGAAAGCCATTGGATTTAAAGAAGAGGGACACTCACTCGTCCCATCTCCCTCAGTTTGGTCAGCATCACCACAATGGTGGAGTTGTTCTCCCACAACATCCTCCAGAAGTCTTCAGTGGTCTCCGCTAATGGGCCTTGAGTGGCTATATAAGCCCTCTGTTGTCTACAGCAAAGAGAAAATGAGTCCCTGTGAATTAAGGTGCTTAAATTGGCAAAATGAACAACTCCGGGTCGCTTTCTCGCTGTTGCAGTACCTGTATCCATCAATGAAGCTGGAGTTGATATAGTCGGACCCCTCCAGCCCTCTGATGGGCTGCAGGCACACTCGAGTGGTCTCATAGGGCATGATGTTGACCAGGCGGTTTTTAAATTTGTTGCATGGCAGATTGGCACTTATGAATCTGGACGTGTGGGCTTTGGAGTTCGCCAGACGCTATGGGAAGAGAAAGACGATTGATAAATCCAAGCCAGTCTCTAAAGCTCCAAACATTTACAGCTTACAGGTTCACTTCCAGAATAAACATGTCCTCATAATCTATTCACCCCTATGTCATCCAAGATGTTCATGTCTTTCTTTCTTTCTTCAGTTGAAAATAAATTGAGGAAAACATTCCAGGATTTTTCTTTACTTCAATGGCGGCCAACGGGTTGAAGGTCCAAATTGCAGTTTCATTGCAGCTTCAAAGGGCTCTACATGATCCCAGCCGAGCCCAGTCTTATCTAGTGAAACAATCGGTCATTTTCTTAAAAAAAATAAACATTTATATACTTTTTAACTACAAATGCTCGTCTTGCACTAGCTCGACCTCACGCATTATGTAATCATGCACGTGTGATGTAAGCGGAAGTACCTTAGTGCTGTCAAACGATTAATTGTGATTAATCGCATCCAAAATAAGTTTTTGTTTGTGCGTACTGTGTATATTTATTATGTATATATAAACACACACACATGCATGTATATATTTTAAAAATATTTACATGTATTTACATGCATATATGTATATTCATATAATTTATATTTATAAATACATAAATATACACAGCACACGCACACATATTATGTAAACAAAAACTTTATAAATATAAGCAGGTAAACAATGCCTTCTTATAAGTATTATTACCATGATATTGAATAAAATATACATAATACATACAGTATGTGATATCCAAAAATAGAATTGAATTTGCACATACACTTTTTATATACAAGTTAATGAAAGCAGATAAACAATGCCTTTTTATAATAAATGAATAAAATATCATTTTATTATATAATTTTTTATAGTATAATATTATTAATAATTATATTTAATTCATAATACTAATGAATACTAATACTATATATACTGAATATTGTCTCAACGGCGCATGAGTCTATATTCGTCTGCGTTTGATTAACTGCAAACAGCAGATTGTTTTTGCCGCAACATAAGAAGGGTGAAAGAAAACGAGGCGTAACAGAGCCAGGACTGAACTCTGCGCACACACTACAGGCCAAGCGATGTGTGTCCAATCATGTGATTAAATACGTGACTTGTTCACTGCAAAAGCGAGCGCGACGGCATCCCATCATGCATCGGTCCAGGCCCCGCCTCCTCCAGTCGGCTCTGATTAAAGCTCTCTTTGATTCTCGCTGCAGTCTGATTACTGGAGAGCCGGCCTGGATGATTCAATCACAATTAAAGTGCCCGGCTGGAGTGAGCGATGCTCGGGATGCTCATTTCGTCTTGGGCCCGTCCGCTCGCGTTTGTACGCCGGCAGTCAGAGTGTTTCGCTTTAGCGGTTTGCCGGAAAGGCCACCCGACTGATGAGGGCTGAAGTCGTTAAGCGAGCGGTTCTGCTAGCGGTCGCTCGCTTGATGGGATATTCAGGCATTTCTAGAGGAAGACCTACTGCTGAGCCTCATGGGAAACATGATTATAAGATAGCTAACAGTATTTTGGCTCAGAATAGATACAGAACAAAATTGAATTGCGTCATTTTTACCCAAAACACTTTGTAAATGATATAATCCGCAATAATGTGCTTCCGAAAATGATTCCGAAAAATGATTTTTGAGGCATGGTATAACCTGGTTTTTATGGCACAATTTACATCAATATTTATAATCAACATTAATTTGTACATATCACATGATTTACCATTTTTATTAGATATATGCCATGATAATACCATGACATTCTTTGCAGTAAGTACCATGGCATATAAATGTGGTAATACTATGGTGTACAGGAAAATACCGTGGCATTACCATGTTTTTTTCCCTTATGATGCCAAGAAAACATGATATTCTTTGAAATGCCTTGGAGTACCAGGGTATGTAAAAATGGTAATGTTTAATACCACAATATCAAAGTACTACAGTATTGAGATGATTTCATACATGGTACCATGGTAATACTGTGTTTTTGGATACATCCCATGTTAATACCATGATAATCTTGGAAATACCTTGGAGATACTTTAGGGTAGTATTTCCAAGAAACGTCCACAATAACATGGTAGTACCATTTTCGTAAGAACACCATAAAGTACCTTGAGGTACCATGTAAAAGCCTTACAAAAGGTATATGAACATGGTAATCATTCAGTACCCAATATATTTTTGTTGTATTTCAGGACTCACCCGAGCATCCGTCACTTTGAACTCTCTGAGGATGTACTGCGGCATGTTGTACTCCGCCATGGGATCCACCACAAAGTATTGATATCTAGCGGAGCGCTCTGCTGGCCAGTACTGGTGACACTTTTCCTGTGAAAACACACGAAAACATCATTAAATGACATGATCTGGAAGCTGAAAGCCATTGGATTTAAAGAAGAGGGACACTCACTCGTCCCATCTCCCTCAGTTTGGTCAGCATCACCACAATGGTGGAGTTGTTCTCCCACAACATCCTCCAGAAGTCTTCAGTGGTCTCCGCTAATGGGCCTTGAGTGGCTATATAAGCCCTCTGTTGTCTACAGCAAAGAGAAAATGAGTCCCTGTGAATTAAGGTGCTTAAATTGGCAAAATGAACAACTCCGGGTCGCTTTCTCGCTGTTGCAGTACCTGTATCCATCAATGAAGCTGGAGTTGATATAGTCGGACCCCTCCAGCCCTCTGATGGGCTGCAGGCACACTCGAGTGGTCTCATAGGGCATGATGTTGACCAGGCGGTTTTTAAATTTGTTGCATGGCAGATTGGCACTTATGAATCTGGACGTGTGGGCTTTGGAGTTCGCCAGACGCTATGGGAAGAGAAAGACGATTGATAAATCCAAGCCAGTCTCTAAAGCTCCAAACATTTACAGCTTACAGGTTCACTTCCAGAATAAACATGTCCTCATAATCTATTCACCCCTATGTCATCCAAGATGTTCATGTCTTTCTTTCTTTCTTCAGTTGAAAATAAATTGAGGAAAACATTCCAGGATTTTTCTTTACTTCAATGGCGGCCAACGGGTTGAAGGTCCAAATTGCAGTTTCATTGCAGCTTCAAAGGGCTCTACATGATCCCAGCCGAGCCCAGTCTTATCTAGTGAAACAATCGGTCATTTTCTTAAAAAAAATAAACATTTATATACTTTTTAACTACAAATGCTCGTCTTGCACTAGCTCGACCTCACGCATTATGTAATCATGCACGTGTGATGTAAGCGGAAGTACCGAACCCAGTCTTTACAAAGCGAACATGCAAAGAAAGTCAAACACGACGATTTTGGAGGAGAAAATAGCTGCGTTTCCATTACCCTTCAAATTGTGCAAATTAAAATTGCGAATAGAAAATACGCCTAATGGAAACACGTCATTTTCACAAAAACGCCTGTGTATTGAAAAGTTTTTACGCTCGTATGAGGCGTTTTTTTGGCCAATTTGAAAACTGCAATGGAAACAGTTTTTCGCATTTACAGGTCACCCGGTGTACGTAAAAATCACATGATCATTCTTTGATGTACTATAACCTCCAAGAAACACCTCATACTTGGCCGCTCTCAAGTTTAAGGGGCCATTAATGCTTGGATGGATGACCCCTTATTTACACTGCACACGTCTGCGGCTCCGACACGGCCACTCTAGTCAATGCTTGTGTTTATACCAGCTGCGCCGCGGCACGTAAGCATCCCAGAAGCAGCTCTCTGCGCTGCTTTTCTAAAGATACACGCATGCGTCTCCTCCAATTAAAAATAATGGTAGTGCGGTGGCTGCGATATATGTAAACCTACGAACATCCATCGCCATGACTTATCGCGAGAGGAAAAAATGACGTTTTAGTCAAATAACATTGGTTAATGGAAATGCCATCATTTCGCAAGTTTTTTTTATCAACATTTATAAAATATCGCAAAAGTTTTGCGCAAATCTGTAATGGAAACGCACCTAGTGAGATGGAGTTTTTTTTCCCTACCCTACCTTTTTGAACCGAAGTACAAAGACGAAGAACTAACCGTGCGTGACCACTATGTGGAGAAAAATCCAGGAATGTTTTCCTCAAAAACCTTAATTCCTTAATTTCTTTTCGACTGAAGAAAGAAAGACATGAATATCTTGGATGACATGGGGGTGAGTAAATAATCAAGAAATGTTTATTCTGGAAGTGAACTAATCTTTTAAATAGAGTTTACTTTGGATATTTAGGCTTGAAGGACATTACTTGCTGCATGGGAATCTCAGACAATCGTTTAACCATTCTGACCCTTTATTTTTGGTATAATGCCTCTATTTTTTCTCAGTCTCACACTGTTTATAAATGGGCGAGACTGGGTGACCCAGTTTATGTGCGCTCGCAGGAAACCTGTCAATGCTTGTTGCTGTTATAATTACCCAAACCCCCATTTTTTGTCCATCAGGTGGCATGAAACCCTGCTCTGAAACAATTGGAAAGTCGTGCAACTTTGGCGAAATGGGTCACTGTCGCTTTTAGGAAGCCGCTATGTATTCATACTCTGACTGGACACCACCGTTTTGTGCGCGCACATACACCTCGTACTCTCATGTCATGATCCAAATTAGAGCTTGTAACCATCAATTAACATCAACCGAGCCACAGTACGTGTAATTCTTCTCCGTTTTTTAGGTCAGTTGTCTGGAAGCATTGTCTCCTTTTAACTGGACGAGCCTGGCACATCTAGAAACTGTGCCGCACTTTCTCTCTTCTGTTCCGCCAGGTAATGCCTTCGCCCAGTTATAAATCCATTCAGTTCCCGCTCCAGGCCTAGTCTTTTTTTCTCTTTCGTTCAGAAGCAGCCACTGGCTGTTTGTCTTTCCTTTGAGTCTTTGAGTAGCTTTCAAAGAGGGACCTGGAAGGGCATGGGGCATTCCGGTGGGAAGCGCCAGCAATGAACCGAGCTGTTGAAATAATAAGCATGCGCACACACACTTTGGCTTGTTTAGCAGGCCGGGGTAGAGTTTTGTGACATGGTTAGCACTGTAGGCACCTTATTAGCACTAGCACTGTCATTGTGTTGGGGACGTTTCTATCCCCCATGCTAACCATGTAAATATGACTCATAAAAGTCATAAATTATGTGTTAGTTTATGATTTCTGAGTATATAACAGAAGCTCTAAATGGTCAAAATAACATTTTCTGTATTTTTTTCCAGTTGGCTCTTTAGCTAACTAGTTAACTGACTAGTTTTGCATACTGCTGATTTACAAACCTAGCACACCACTAATTGATTAGTCTGCCATCTTATCATACCTCTAGCTGCTTAGCTTGAAAGCTTAGCACGTTGCTATTTGATTTTCTGCCTAGAATTTATGCTTTGCTAGATTTTTCTTGAAGTAGATTTTTTTCTACTTCATATTTTTGCTCACAAGGAACCGTGTCTGACCAATTTGCAAACCAATTTAGACATTTTGCTATCTAGTTTGATGATCTCTTTGAAGGAACTCATTCACTCATGAATTGGAAATTGCTAGCTGTGCTTTAGCAACACCAGACGCACAACCAAAGCCACTGAAGGTAAGCCTGCAACCTTTAGCCAAAAAAGTGTAATGGCTAATGCTGACGGAAAGGAGACCAGAGGGCAATTTTTTTTGAATGGATGTCAATGGAGGAGAGGCTTCTCTACCCTGAATAAACAGCTTTTTAGAGGAAACGGCTTATCATTTAAAGGCACAATATGTAAGATTTTTTTATTAAACTATCCAAAAACCACTAGAACAGTTTTATATATTTTGCTGACTTGTGTACTTACATTATCCCAAATGTTTCGAAGAATGTTTAAATCCAGAGAAATAAGCAATTTTAACTAGTGACACGGACCACAACTCCCATGATTCCACACTCAGTCATGGCGTCATCAAATTACTCTTTGTTTATATTGAATACGCGCCCTCTAGCGGCGAAAATTACACATTGCGCCTTTAATGAATCGACAGCCTATCTGCTAATCAACATGTTTTACACTAAACAACACTTTTGGATTGAACTATTTTTAGAGTTTACCACGAAAAGAAATGCTGTTTTATAAGAGAAGTCACTGACTTTTTATGACAGGTGGGCTTCAGCTTACAGCATTTCTCATTCATTCCTATGGTATCTGTAAACGGCGATTGAGTGTCGCACAACTGACTGAAGTTCAATGATGTCAAGGCTGTAATGTGATTGGTTATTAAGGCACACGTGATCCAAGTTAGCCGTTACGCTTTCTCCAATAGTAAGTAATACAGACCCTCTCATCTCCCTACAGTAAGACAAACTCTGGCACAACTTGGTTTCTAAAATAGCATGTTTGACAATGCTACTCAATAAAAGAGCTTTACTACTACGATTTTTAAAAATAGAAATGCTACTGGGTCCCATCGTTAAACTAATTGGTTTGCCACCTTGCTATTGCTTCCAACACTTCTCCCGTAGTTGGTGCAAAAAACTGGAAAGAAGGAAATCTTTTCAAGGTCTTGGAGGCCAGAAACCTGCAGGAGTGTTTCAGTCGCCAAATGGAGCCCACAATCCCTCTATGCTCATTAGTGAGCACATCGTTTCTCCTCAACATCCGTCTTCATCGGGTGTTAATTTCCCTTCCTACAATCCCTCTCTGGCTGTCATCAACTTTCGTTCGTCTCTGTCACAACTAGAGTTTCACATCTGTGTCTACAGTAACAAAACATGCCGCCAAGAGGTGTCGATTGTTACTAGAGGTTCTATCTGGCACGTTCGATGATCTTGTGCCAACCAGAACAACATTTCCCAGATTATCTGACGAGATGTAATTAAAGATGACTAGTTGCACACAATAAACATGTTCATACTTTTCATATGTCTTGTGGTTACCTTAAACTCCAGCTCCATGCCACTAACGTGCTCTCCGGCCTCTACCTGCGCCAGCTTCTGGATGTAGGAGAAGAGGCTTCGTGCCGCCACCTCTGTATTCCCGCAGGCGACGGCCTCCAGGAGGGCATCATGGATGAAGCTGTACTGGTCTTCTGTCTGCACCATGTAGTTCCTCTGGGAGCGCATGAGGGTTACGTGACCGTAGATGTCCACCGTCTTCTCATGCTTGATGCGCTCTAGCATGGCGTCAATCACGATGAAGCAGCCTGTGCGGCCCACACCAGCACTGAAAACACACAAGTCAGAGATGAAAGTTGCAGGAGAGTTTGGTTTCTTTTAGTTCTGTCAAAATTAGCGTATTAACGCAGCCGATTAATTTGTCCAGTTTAACGGCGTTAAAAATATTTCATGCAGTTAATGCAGGGGTGGAGCTAGGGTTGGCCACCTCACTCACAACTGCTGCTTCTGTCTCTTTTTTTCCCTTTACAATAACTGCATTTATTTAAACACAGAAAGCCTTTTGACCACATCAAACGGGAGACTCTTCAGACGCAAGCTTCAACTTCGAAGAGTCAAATGAGCACGGAAACGGTACAGGTGATGAGGAGCTTCAATAAAACAACAGTGAACTGCAGTCAGATGAGATGTTGTCAGGCCGTATCTCAGTAAAACTGATTATCCTGTCCTGTCAGCCGTTACACTGTGCTTTTCAATTGCACACACAAACACAGCAGCGCACGCTGTAGCCTATCATTTTATATTAACGTGCAAATGAAACTACGCGCATGCGTGTCAGATCCACATCACTTTCAGCAGTGGCAGCTCTTAAAGTAATAGCAGCCACATAACCTAATAACCCAGTTGCTGTGATGTCTGTTCATCAAAGAACAAACGACAAAAGAGGAAATCAATAACTTTTGTAGCTTTAAGGATTCATCTACTTTTAATTTAGAATTTAGTGTTTGATAACTTTATTCAATTTCCAACTTGCTGAAGGGCACAGGTAAATATGGCATTTATTATAATGCATTTATTTGAAGATTGTTTTAAGTTTTCTTAAATTAGAAGTTATTTTTAAAAGTGTAATAAATGTTAAAATTGATAGCTCAATTATATTTTAATGTTAGTATAGTCAACATTACATATAGTCAATGGCTAAATATTAGGAAAAAAGAACAATTTCCTAGAGACATCAGTAGTATTGGTATCAGTGATACTCGCCTTCAGTCATAAAAAAGATGCCATTAAACAAATATTAAAAATATACCATCTTTATGTTGTTTCTATATTAATTTGAAGATTGAATGTGAAATTATTGCAATATAAAAGTATATTTAAAAACTTTAATTATTAATCATGATTAATTTCAGAAACAATTGTGTGATTAATTAATTAATTTGTTTTAAACGATTGACAGCACTAGTTTCTTTACTAAGAACCAAAGGCCGACTTTAGGGAACAATGCCAAACTTTGAATGATGAGACTGTTCTAGGCTTCGAGAGCCTTGACAAGTAGGAACTGGGTTCAGACCTGCAGTGGGCGATGATGGGGCCAGCGTCCGGTGGATTGCAGGTCTTCACCCTCCTGAGGAAGGCCAGGAATGGAGTGGGGTACTCTGGAACGCCGTGGTCCGGCCAGGCGGTAAACTGGAACTGTCGAACCTCTCGCTTTTCACTGGAACCATTCTGAAACAAGAGCCAAGTGCTGTGACGCCAAGTTGCATGAATGCACAGGAATAAATCTTAGCGGTGATAAATCTAGCCCTTGTTCTAGCAATGCATGATTTAATCATGTAAGCATGAGATCATGGAGTTGTCTAGTAGTTCAAGGACCTTACATGTCAGTGTCATAAACATGCTATGTTCGGGAATCGCCTTGTGTCACCAAAATGTCTTCTACAGTGTATTATACAGTGTAACAAGGCAGCCAGGAACATGTCTGCCGCAGAGGAGATTTCGTTAAGAAGAGGGAGAGACATCAGTGTCCTGCTAGTTCTAGCTGCTAGCCTTTATTTCTCATCCTGGACGTCTTTAAAGGGAGGTTTTGCATTTCAATGTCGCTGCAGTTCCAACAGAGGCTCCCTTTGAATAAATGAATAAATAAACTATGTAATTAAGAGCAAACTGGCCCAGTTTTGCCAGATACTTTTTTTTTTCTCTGGCTGTCTTCTGCAGGCTGTTTCTCCGCAGTGGATGGGCTTGTGCAGGATTGTTTTTAAGAATTCATGACTCTGGGTTGACTGTGTGTGTGCGACTGCAGGATATGCGCACACATAAATACACCTCACTGTTCCAGCAAGTATGTGTGTGAGGGTTGTAAGCAAACTCTGACTATTCAAGCCTAGCAATGCAATACAACAACTGTGGTGCAACAAAAACACACCTCATCTGTATTCGAAGATGTCCCTCCAGTAAAAAAAAAAGAGTCATACGAAGACCATCGAAGTGCAAGACAATTTAATTGCTCATTCATAGCTCAGGAGATCTCTTCTGAAACTAGTGGATTACTGGGAAAAATCTGAGAAGATCCAATTACTCACTGTGCTGTCTAGGAGAATCAATTGAGATATTGAAGAGATCTCATTTCTCTTTCCTGGGGCTTTAAACGAAAGCTTCATCCCGTAACCATAAGCACGCTCTTCATGCTCTGTACGACAGTCTCTCTTTAATCAATGCTTCTGTTCGTGTCTTATGGGTGCCCTTCATTACAGTAAAAGCTCAATCCATTTTAATTCATGTTACGGTCTGACCGTGCAACTGGCTGACCCCTCTCTATTTCTCTCCCTCGTTCCCAACCACTTCATGTTTACTTGACCGCTGCGCCGTCTGGGATGCCAATTTTGCATGGAGTCGTTTAGCTCTGGCCACTTAGCTAAGTGCCTCTCTTTGGCAGGCGTAGCATTAAAAGATGATGGATGTGGAATGAGGAGATTATAAAAACATGTGCGTGTGTTGGTGTACGCAGTCGAGATGAGAACACTGGGAGGGTTTGGGAAAAATGCTCCTGTTTGCAATCGTCCCGGTTTGCGTATGTCTGTCGGAGCCCAAAAGCGAAACTGTGTAATGTGTCTGCTCTAGGTTCCACAGGGAAATAAGAGGCCCATGCACAACGTTAAACTCTTGAAAACATCTAAAGCAAAGTGTTCCTAGGAAATACATTTATATAGGGAATACATTTTATATCAGAAACACCCATTGTGGACTGGGGTGTCCAATCCTGCTCCTGAAGAGCCAAGGTCTTGTAGAATTTGCCTGGAAGTTTCTAACAATCCTGAAGACCTTCAGTTCACCCAAAAATGAAAATTACCCCATGATTTACTCACCCTCAAACAATCCTAGGTGTATATGAATTTGGCTTATCCAAATTTCATAATGGGTTGAATTTTGAAGCCCCAAAAAAAGTGCATCCATCCATCATAAAAAATGCTCCACATGGCTGGCTCAGGGCGTTAATAAAGGCCTTCTGAAGTGAATCGATGCATTTGTGTAAGAAAAATATCCATATTTAAAACTTTATAAACCGTAATCTCCAGCTTCCGCTAACGTTCATATGCACATTCATGAGAAAGTGGCGTTTCAGTGGATGACGTAGGACGTAGATGTAGTGTAAGCTCTGGTGAGAATATGCTATTCTTGTGAGAACCAAGTTTTGTTTACAACAAAGGAAAACCAGACTCCTTTTGGCTTATATCGAAATCCTACAATATTTTTATTTACATATCCTTGTAAATGAGGGGGTAATTTTAATTTTTGGGTGAACTATCCCTAATTAGGGTTGAAGCTAAACTCTGTAGGATGTTGGGCCTCCGGGAGCAGGATTAGCCACCCCTGCTGTAGCTGAAACGGTGCAAACTAAGGTTGTTTGCATGCAAGGTGGAAACAAAAAATCTTACCTTGTGTAGAGAGAACGTGCGCAAGCAGAAAGTGGCGAGTTCGATGGTGTCCAGGAGCGTCACTTGGATCATACCGTAGGTCTCCGTCCCTCTACTCGGCCAGTACTGGTCACACTTTATCTGGAGAGGGTGAGTGAACGTTAACAAACCTTATATCTTTCATGTGGGTTTAGCTGTCTTTTTTGGAGGTCATGGAATCAGATATCTCTATGCAAATACCTCCCGAATTTCAGTGTGCTGAGGAATTACGGTGCCATTGAGCTAAATCTCACCAAGATTGAATCAAATAATCATCTGGGAGCCTTTTCCAAAGACACTAAATTACTTTGGGTTTTCGACATGAGAAGTAAGACTCCTAACAGTCTCCGAACTGATTCACAAATAACGACTCAGTCCTGGGGGTTCACACCTGGAATCTCAAACCCTTCCCGTCTACCCACGTCACATCAATTACGCAGGCATAATGTTTTTCTTCCCTCCTCCGACACCTGGCACATTGACAGACCCCTGGCTCGCTGTATAGATGCATTCAATACAGAGCATGGCGAGCAGTCGGGCCGCCCCCCGTGCCCTGATGCGATGTGACAGCTCGCTGCTTCAAAAATGAGCAGGTTTAATGCGTTCTTTGCACTTATGCTGCAGATTGAACGGCTCACTCTGATCGCATCTGACAGAGCTCTAATATGCCATGTGGCGCCCGCTAAGATGGTGAGAGAGAGTGAGAGGGGGCGTCCTGAGATACTGACGGAGTTTGCTGAGCCTGACAGTCTAGGGTGTGACTGAATCGTCTTCGATGAACTTCCAGACGTCACGGCTGAGGGAGTCTTCAAGATGAGGGATTCTTGACTTCCTCTTTCTGTCTCGCTCTCCTTTTTTTGTGGTAAATGGGCCGAACTGCCCCCAAATAGAGCCGAGAGATGATTCCTGGTTGTTATCAGAGAGCCCTTTCCTTATTACCCTCCATTTTCTCCATCCTTTTTGCTCATCCACTCAACCGGCAATGGCATTTCAACTGGAATAATGTCAATTTGTTCAGTATGAAGCTCAGTCTTTTTAACAAGGCTAAAAGAGACGCCTATTATCTTCTTAGGGACTATTAGCTCCCTTCCACAACCTAGTGAGCTGCCTAGCTAGACAGTATTTTAAGACATCACCGGCACGCTCCAGATGTTAAGGTTGTTTCAAAATGAAAGATACCTCCTTTTGGCAAACTGAAACTGTGAAGACAATCCCAGAATGCACTAAAAAACATTTCATTCAATAGTTGCCTAATTAAAAATGGACCATTTTACCAAATATTTACTTGTACTGCACATGTTGTATGCCAGAGAGGATCATGTTGTTAGCTTAGCAACATGCTAATTCAATACTCTCTCGTGTAGCACTTTTTTGCGACACCTATGTATAGTATTCCAGATTAGTCCATTATAAGCCTCCATTTCCGTTAGTTTGCTACCTTGGAAGATAGGAAGCGAGACAGCTTATTAGTTTTTAAACACAGCTAATAAGAACTACACTTTCTTGTTTAGCCTCACCCTTGACTTCTCTTCCAGTCTGGTCATCATGACCACGGTGGCGGCTCGTTGCTCCCACACCATTCTCCAAAAGTCTCCGAAGGTCTCTGGCAGCGGTCCCTGCGTGGCTATGTATGCGTTCTGCTTCCTGTAGCCATCAATGTAGTTAGCATTGATGTAGTCGCTGCCTGTGATACCTTGAAACGAAGTAAGAAGGTTGGTAACAGTGAGAGTTAGAGCCGGAGTGACAGAGATGTTCACTTTTCAAGGGACGTATCATGAAAAAGCAGGATTTTGACTGACGCTATGCTACATAACACAAAGCTAACGCAACATTTATGATACAGAAACATCAGTACATCATCAACATATGACCATTCACATTTATAAATTGACATGTATTGTGTAAAACAGCCCTCAAATGCACATGCAAACTCCTTGTAAAATCTTGTAAAAATACATTTCAGCTGTTTTTGGTGCAAGAAAACGTGACTAACGCTGCCTGTGATACCTTGAAACGAAGTAAGAAGGTTGGTAACAGTGAGAGTTAGAGCCGGAGTGACAGAGATGTTCACTTTTCAAGGGACGTATCATGAAAAAGCAGGATTTTGACTGACGCTATGCTACATAACACAAAGCTAACGCAACATTTATGATACAGAAACATCAGTACATCATCAACATATGACCATTCACATTTATAAATTGACATGTATTGTGTAAAACAGCCCTCAGTGCACATGCAAACTCCTTGTAAAATCTTCAGCTGTTTTTGGTGCAAGAAAACGTGACTAACGTTACTTGTCGACTTCAAAAGTGTGGTTTAATACCCCTGTTTCTAGACAGTTCCAAAATGGCTGACGATGTTGTTGTGTGAGTCTCTTAACTTGTGAAAAACTTGCAGCTCCAATAACATGATATAGAGTCACAGTCTGGTAAGAGGCTATTGCAGAGCTTGTGACAGATATCCATCACAGAAAATAATCCCCATGAAAGAAAAGCCATCGAGCCCCATCGCAGCTTTTTCTCACTTCCTTCCAGCTTTTTCTGCCCTGTCTAGCTCTCTGAGGGCCGGCCAACAGCATCCACTGCAGCTGATTTAGGACCAGATGCTATACGATGGAATTAGGCTGGACTAGGAGTAAATCAGCGAGCAGAACCCACGCCGGACCCCGTCTCGCTCTCTTTCTGCCATCGCTCTGGGCGGCCCGCAGTAAATCTCCCATAAAGCAGCCAAACATTCTCCTGCCTAAGCTCAGGATCGGTGAGGCGGTAAAGTTTAAAAGAACATAATTTATTCAAAATAGAAGTCTTTACTATCACTTTTTATCCATTTAACACATCCTTTCTGAATAAAATATTAATTTCTAAAAAAAAAAAAGACTGACTCCAAAATTTACTGAATAATAGTGTATACTGTAACACAAAATTCTGTTAAATGCTGTCCTTTTTAACTTTATTATTGATCAAATAATCCTGAAAAAAGTATCACAGGTCCCAAAAAGTATTAAGCAGCACAACTGTTTCCAACATTGCTTATAAATCAGCATGTTAGAATGATTTCTGAAGGATTTTCTGTCAATATGGGGTGCTGTGTGTACATTAATGAGGAAAAAAAATTAACTTAAATGATTTTAGCAAATTGCTGCAATATAACAAAGAGTGAAAAATTTAAGGGGGTCTGAATACTTCCAACATCCACTGTAAATCAGCATGTTAGAATGATTTCTGAAGGATCATGTGACACTGATGACTTGAGGTAATGATGCTGAAAATTACAGCTTTACATGTTATTCTCTTTCAAAATAAGTCTAGAGTAAATCTAATATAATTTCATCATCCACCACACATCTAAATGCCTCTCCTCGACAAACGGCATGATTTCATGTGTCATTCGTGTACGTAGCACAAACAGCGAGGAACAAATTATGCAACAAAGTTCAACACTTAAGGTTAGGGGTTTGTTCAAATCCCCCAGTAGGAGCAAGCGCCATTAATTCTCTGAAACAAGTCACTTGTAATTACACTCAGGGTCCGCGCTCACTTCAGACCTCTGGCAAATAACCTATGAGAGGCATATTTAATTGTACAGTTTATCCAACACAAAAGCTTCAATCACAAACACAGGCCCGCGGTGTTAAACTGTTGTTTTCGTACTTTAACAACGAACAATGAAACACTTGGTTCTTTTCTAGCCCCCGCTACGTTGGAGAAAAAGGCAAAATTAGCAATCAGGGAGAAAAAAGAATGCCATTAAAAGCCTCTTCCCCGTCTCACAAAGCGATCACAGGATTGTTTCGCTTTAGCTAAGTGAACAGAGCACGGCTGCCTGCACGAATTGTTCCACCGTTGTGTCTAATGGTGAAATCACTGCACTGTAAAATGGAAATTTCGAACTTGATTAATTTATGCATTTATGGGCGCTGTCTTTGTGATGATTCTGTTACGCCGTGTTATTGCTCATCTAAATTGGGTCGTGGTGAACTGTGGCGAAAATCAAGGTGACGCGACGACGAGGAAGGGAACCTGGGGGAAGGGCATAAATGTAAACAGCACAAGGGAGCATTGAGGATTGACAGTCGGCGTTGGATGGAAAAAAGATGGGCGTTTTTACCAACATTACAGCAGAATCTATTTTCCACTGTTCCTTCCAAAAGCTTGAAATCACTGCACTGTAAAATGGAAATTTCGAACTTGATTAATTTATGCATTTATGGGCGCTGTCTTTGTGATGATTCTGTTACGCCGTGTTATTGCTCATCTAAATTGGGTCGTGGTGAACTGTGGCGAAAATCAAGGTGACGCAACGACGAGGAAGGGAACCTGGGGGAAGGGCATAAATGTAAACAGCACAAGGGAGCATTGAGGATTGACAGTCGGCTTTGGATGGAAAAAAGATGGGCGTTTTTACCAACATTACAGCAGAATCTCTGCCAATTTTCCACTGTTCCTTCCAAAAGCTTGACAGCTTCTATACCTCAACCAAAGACACTCTGGGATATGGCGGTGCACTATACCATTCGAGTTTAATTTCGGCTGCTTGTGAATTATCGGACTCTTGTTTCCTGTACATGCGCGAGCAGACAATAAAATTGTGTGGGAAGGGAAGAAAGCCAATTGATTTATATGGATAAACACTATAAAAACACATAATAAAGACATAAAAAATGGATGGCGATCTCCCAAATGCACATCCCAGATCTATCAGGTTCTTTGGAAGGATTTTAGGACTTTGCACTGAAATAAATTTCTCAAATAAACAGCCAGACACATCTGTGGGCGACAACAAAGTTCAGTCATTCTGGAACCTTCAGATGCAGTGCTTTTCTTTGAAAGAATCAGTGTGTGCGCAGTTCTGCCCGACCTTCGATGGGCGCCAGGATTACGCGGGAGTGGTTGTAGGCGATGACGTTGGCGTAGCGGTTCTTGGGTTTGTTGACCTCCAGGTTGGAATGCTCCCAGGTGAACTGCTGACCCGGATCGATGGACTGTGGAAAGAGAAAACGGAGTGAAGCAACCCTTAGGGCTTTTCCCAATCCCTCAGCATCGCTGGCACGAATACTAATACGAGAAGAGAGTGAGTTTGCATCCGCTAGAACATCAGAATAAGGTGGAGAAACAGAAGAGAGTTCAACACTCAGAAAAGCAGGGTTGAGTGAGGCCATGGGGCCTGGGAGGACTAAAACTAAGGGAAAATAGAGAAATGAGGATCCTTCACAAAGCAGCCCGGATAAACATTCGCAACAAGATAAAAGTCCTCCTGCCGCAATCACAGCCGCAGATTAAAGTGTAATTAAAAGCCGTCTGCTATCGTTTAAATATTCACCAGCATTCGGCCAGGTAGCTTTGTCGTGGACAGTGAATAATAGCAAAGGAAACGCTGATAAAAGAGTCTGTTCCTTCCTGTGAGGGGGTGAATTATCTGACGCCAGCAAGATAAATGCCGCCACGTTCCCAATATGAGAATTTCTGAATAAATATTCTATTCCCCTGTCGGGGTAATTTAGTATTCCATTATGATTCCGAGCCTGTTCTCGGGCAATGGCTCAGTCCCAGCTCTTCTAGCTTGAGGGATGATTTCATTTAGGCGACCGTCTCGGCATGCTGAAACTGGGACTAAATAACCCACAATGAGAGATTTGATGTAGCTGTTTACCCTGTGATGATTACAGGCACAAATAACAGAGCACGGATCCTCCACAGGTTGTCCGTGCTCTCGAACCCGTCTCTCTTATCATCTACCCTGCAAACCGCCCATGGGTTTCAACACGCATAGCTTGGATTGGTTTGGTTCTCCTCCAAGCCAAATGTCACATTGTGCTGTAATCTAACGGATCACGTATGGACGGAAGCATGATGACATAATCGGGAGTTTGGTAATCCAGAGCATTTTTTTGCATAACTCCCAACCCACATCCTCTGACAAACATCTGACAAAACCTTTTGCACCAAGCATTTTTTTCTGTTTCTTGGGGCATATAGAACGTTGAAGAATGATCAAATGACTTTTTACGTACGCCATGCGACATGAAAATGTGAAAAAAACATTTACATTGCAGTTTTGCGTTTCCATTAGGCGTATTTTCAATTAGCAACTTCAATTTGCGCAATTTGAAGGGTAATTGAAATGCAGCTAGTGATTTAGCACCTACTTTTAGCATGCTAACGCATAAGGAATACATTCATTCCAATTTTTTCTTCTAGAGCAGCAGTTCCCAAACACTTTCCTCAGCAGAATGACTTATTTACAAAGCCAGAGCAGATCATTTTTTAAAAACGGTTAACTAATATCTGGTAGAAGGTGACTTTACCAGATCACACCATTGTTTACTCCCTTTTTGCAAGTGGACGAGATCAGAAACGACCTTTTCTACAATCTACTACTCAGGCTTAGCTGCTTATGAATGATGTTTGTTATTTGGTTAGCATATGCAGCTAAAGCTAATCTATATGCTAAACCAATGTCCCAAAAATGATAGTGGGTTGGCTCAACTCAAGTGTGCCCATGTTCCTGCTGAGATATCAGGTCTGGCTCACGCTGGGAGCCATTTAAGACGGCATTAAGCCACGGGGGTGTTGATGACGGTGCTGCCTTAGCAAGCTGTGATTTAAGATGGACGACGACATTTGCTCTATGCAAATGAAGGCTGATTCAGCAATAGCGAAGGCTAATCAGCAGCCGCTACATTTACGAGCCCAGCACTCCAAACCGAGGCATCCGCGCCTTCTGCAAAACCCTGTGGCACGTGAGTAACTGCCATGCAAACGCTAAAAACAATTCACCGGCATTTGTTTAGCAAGAAAACACACTTTATGTAAGTGCAACGTCTTTTGAAATGGGTAACAATCCTATTCGTAACAAAAAATTGTATAATATGCAGTACCTCATACTCCTGGGAGAGCTTCAGGTTGTCGTTGGCCTTCAGTAGATCCGTGTGCTCAGCTAGCTCAGAGATGGGTATAGGAGGGTGGTTCATCATACCTGTGCACCAATCAGGAGACAGAAAGATAAGGTCAGAAAGACCAACGGGACCAAGAAAGACAGTTAGAAGCCAAATCCCAAAAGTTGGTGGAGAAAACAGGACTGGGGTGGGGGAAGACACACAAGCAGGTGAGACAATGAGGTGGGGACTGGAGTGAGGAACAGCGGGTGATGTTATGGCAGCCGTACCGTGCCGTACCATGCAGTGGAAAAGCGCCATTAGAGACACAGTGTGACCAGGCCAGAGCTCTACATCATCAATCGGACCAATCAGGAACATCCTAATACAGAAAAACCGGCTGCATTTATACAGACAATATGAAGGAAAAGACCTAAGGACGATTGCTAAGGTGCTACAAAACCCCCAGACCAATTACAAAAATGATAGCGGGTCAAATGGTTCATAATAGTTTTGCAGTATGAAATTTCTTCTTTCTCACTCCGCTGTAGCTTAAAACGACGAGCAGGAGGACACTTCATATATTTGGTTGGTAAGACAAACCATACGTCTGTCCTCAGCAGACTAAGACAAGGGGAAAAATGTGCTTGGTTGCCTTTGTGAAACCAAACAAATCTCTTTTCAAACTGAGTCACAGGAACAATAAATTGAAACAACCCCCAAGATCTGCCCTTGAGAAATACGTTCATGTCTGCAGAGCTGAAACGTAATAGATTTAATCAAATGCAAAATGTGAAAACTTCTTCACCAATGCGAGACAAAAGGCCAAAAGCACACAAGATTGAAGCTATGTACATTGCATCTGGAATAGGGGAATGGTATCCTTGTTGGTATCCTGTAGGGTTAACCCTATGTTACCCTAAACCAAGTGTGTCTAATCCTGCTCCTGAAGGGCCACCTAGCTAGCTTAATTCCAAATTTAACTAATCTGAACTAGCTAATCAAGGTCTTCAGGATCACTAAAAACTTCTAAATTGGACACTCCTGCCCTAACCGTAACCCTGTTCTGGCATTCGGGGATTGTTTGCCGTAGATTTGAGCATGAATGGACACAAGCTTCTGTCTTGTATTTTATGCTAGGCCTCATAAACAGACTTATCTGCATGTCATCTTGCACGTAACCAAAATATGGACTTAGTGTTCTTGCTTTCTTTGTCTTGCCGCTCTGGGGGGGGGCAGAGGTAGAAAAATACGAGTGAGCCAGAGGTAGAAAAATACAATATTGTCTTTCCCTGGAGTAAACCTCTAGCCTTAATATTTCTAACAGCTTTCCTTTTGGCAGAAGCTTGCACTAATTTCCTTATGTAATCCTTCATTTGCACCACGATGGGAAATAAAGCTCTTGAGGTGGAGGGGAGATGATGGGGGTAATATTCGAGAGTTCTGGCCTGGGTTAGGATGACCCGATGGTACCGGTGCAAAGTGAAGTGCCATGTTCTCTGCTTCAGTTCAGCCAAAGCTAAGCAAGTGTGTCACGGAAGCAGTCACCCATGTTATCCCTGCAACAACCTACAAGACCTTTCCTCAAACAAGCACTAGTTTTGCTGTTTGCTCAGACCGAAAACTTCCTAGGCCTCTCGCTGTGGAGTTAATCCAGTTATGAATTAGTAATGGATTATGGAAGAAAACAGACATAGCTCTTCCTAAAATGGTCGCCAATGTTTTTATAGAAGGCATTGGACTTTCTTCAGCATGAGGTCAAAAGTTGGATAAACGTTGACATCTTGCTTGAAGAGTACTGTGATTTAATTAAGCATGGATAATCTGCATAATCACATTAGCCATCCTCAATTTCACTTCCAGTTTTTTTTTTTTTTTGGTAATGTTGTATGTCGCAAATGGCTTGGGTTTGATTGAGAAAGTCACTTGCTGATTGGACATTATGAGAAAAAAACCAAGCAAATGCCACTCAAGATGCCCTGAAAAAGTTCTAGCTGTTAGTTTTCAGACTTTCATGCAAAACAAAGCTATGCTAATAACAGTTTTTCCTCATCCACTATCTGGACACTAACACTTTTCTAACTCCACAAATGTTATTCTCATTAGCCTGGCCAAGCTCTTAGTCTGGACTCCCCTTAAGGTGAACCAAGGTAATATATGCCAAAGCACTCTCGAAGAAGATGCGAAGGGCAACTTTGGCAAACAACATGAGATACAGACCTGCATGCTAAATGCCAACAGCCTCCATGATGCAATGAGAAAGGCCATCTAAAGCCAATCGAAACCCAACAAACTCGGAAGATTAGCACTTTCCAATGTCAACGTATTCCTCAACTTTGCTCCGTGTCAACAACAATTACTCGTGCCCCGTTTTTTCCATTTCATAAATAAGCTGTTATTTGTTTGTTCTCAGGAATGATCTCTCCACAAGATGTAACAAACAATTACATTTAATCCGATCGGGGTGCAAAGAACGTTTTAACCTCTGCAGATGACTTTTTCTTTTTTGGTTATTAAAACTTTCACGGTCAACTTTGTCAAATAATTAAAATTGGACATCGATATTTACAGATTAACCAAGACATTAGGTTTTTGTAGGAGATGAAAGCACTAAATACACGTTACAAAAGTGGCTTTGCGTGCATGACCTTATAAGTTTCTTATAATTAACTACATTCAATTTCAAGTATTTATGCGAAAGACACTAAAAAGTCTGTTTAAGTGAGGTCCAATCGGATATAAACTCTTTCAAGGACAAATTCCTGTTGTTGTTCATTCCCTATCTGCTCTCTCTGCCAGGATTTCCATGTCTCTCTCCCTCCACCGCGGAGTCTTTTTATCCCATGCAATCAAGCCCAAGATCAGTGAGCGCGAGAGATGCAAACTGTCTAATTACATATTTTCAGTCTCCTATTTGCGCTTGACAGGTGATGCAAATAACAAATCCTTTTGATATCCGCTGCCGCTGTTTGCGAAACGATTTTATGCGATTGTTCATTTACATATAAAAGGAAAAGCGCTCAGTATATTTCCCCCAAAAAAACAAGAAAAAAAAGGGAGTCGTGTTTCTCTTTCCTCTGCCTCGCTGGGGGGCAGGAGGGATGTATCAAATGTCGGACTATTGTTTGCAGAGAGTTTAATTAATTCGGCTCGTTATCTCCGCCTGCAGAACGACCCCATCGGTGGAGAGAGGAATGGGGGTCTGAACGGACAGGATGCTGGAATGTGTGGAGAGACTTGTGTAAAAATGATACAGAAGAGCCGTCTCTACACGATCAGCTGCTTTTACTGTGGATTAATAGTGTTCAGCCAACAGCCTGTGAGAACAAAGCAGTCGACAAGCAGAAGAATAAAGAAAAAACTAATTTAAAAGGAAAAATTAAAAGCTGTGTTACAAATGAAAGTTAAAAGCAGTCATAATTAAGATGAAACAGTTAACCGCATTTGCATTTTAACTTCCCACAGATGCATAATGCAGAACAAATGTCTAGGACAATCAATCTTCAATTTGTAATGTCTTTGGTGTATATACTTACAGTATATATATGTATATATATGGGTCAAAGACATTAAGATGTCCGCATCAAAAGAAATTTACAAAAGTGATTTTATGTCCATAGAAAGCACATTAAATGTAAGTAAACGTCTACTTTTAAGGTTTCAAATAAATTTTATTTGGAGAATAAAATGTCAAAACTTTGACCCATATATATATATATATATATATATAATTTTAAGCATTAATAGAAATCATTATGTTTGTTATAATGATTTAGAATAAAAAACTGAAAAAAAGTAAATTAAATATGAAAATAATACAAATTATAATATTATCACAATGATTATTTATTTACTTAAGTGATAATATATTCATTAATTATAATATTACAATTTAAAATAACTGCTTTTAATTTTAAGAACTGTTTTCTACTTTTAAATATTGACAAAGTCATATCAGTCAACCGCTAGTACTGATGTATGTGGGTCAAAGACGTTAAGATGACCACATCAAAAGAATTTTACAAAAGTGATTTTATGTCCATAGAAAGCACATTAAATGTAAGTAAACGTCTACTTTTAAGGTTTCAAATAAATTTTATTTGGAGAATAAAATGTCAAAATTTGGTTGAAATAATGTTACATTGTCATTCAGTGTAACACAATATTTATGTAAAAATTCAAACAACATGCTTATTCTGACATGTACATATTAAAATATATAAAAGAATAAGGGAGCATATTACATTTGATTTTAATAGAAATCATTATGTTTGTTATAATGATTTAGAATAAAAAACTGAAAAAAAGTAAATTAAATATGAAAATAATACAAATTATAATATTATCAAAATGATTATTTATTTACTTAAGTGACAATATATTCATTAATTATAATTATAAAATGTTTTTATTTAAATTTCATTTAAATATGGTCAGGTTACATAAAAAGCATAAAAAGCTTATTTGACTTGTTTTGTTTTTATATGTTGGCTAACATGATGTCTTTTTATGCAAAAAAAAGCAAAAGATAGGATTATATACTTGATTTTATCCTACATTATGCATCTCGTATTGGAAAAGCAATTGCTAATTAGATGTAGTTTTAGGTTTCATTTGAATTACGACTCCTTTTAACTTTCCCAGGGTTACGGGAGTGAAAATTAGCGCAGATCCGGCAGTTTGTGAGGGAGGAAAAAAAAAAGTCATATGCAAATGTAGTCGGAAAACACAACCCATTATTCCGGATGTGGGGCAGACGCATTAAAAAAAGATAAGAAAACACCAAAGCTCAGCGCAAGATGTGAGCACTAACTTTCATAGTCAAAACCGGCTTCACTGACAGGACTGCTTAGACACAAATCTGTGAAAAACAGCAAACAGCAAAAAATAAAATAAAAGCATCTGTCTTTGAATGTACTGATAATTAGTTGAGAACAAAATCTTCAAATGGACTGAAAGAAATGGGAAAACAAGCTAAATGCAAGGAAACTAATAAGCAGGAAATAGAAATTCTCCTTTATGCATTTTCTCCTTCCAATTAATTTTTCAGACTATATTGTGCATTTTTAACCAGGCAGGAGAACAGACCACCCCTGCTTTGAATGAAGGCGGTAATCCTCGTGAGGGTCCTCGCCGTTGGATCCGACGCCAAGCAGTCTGTCAGACGCTGAAAGTAGGACACTCGCTCACATATCAGCCGTCCTTCATCCAACATCACAGTCGACATACATGAACCGCTGCAGATACTGTTTATACCACGAGTCTTCACGGCAAACTCCACGCTAGTTTTTTAAAGAATAAAATCCTCAAAATATCAGATGGCGGCGTCGATCGAGCGGTAAAAAGACATACGGTCAGAGTTTAGCGGCTCAACGTCTGTCCAGCTGTCTGGAGCGCTAGCGCATGAGAAGTGTCTTTAGCTTCTGTTGTCGAGGTCTGAACCATCTGTGATGGACTTTAGGCACAACGACACCTATGCAGACGCGCAGATTAACACGCTAGCGAGCGGATCAGGTTTGAAATCGCATTGTAATTAGGAATGCTTTTGAGAACAAAAAGTCTAAATGTACTTTTTATCTTTTCATGCTTTATGTTGCCAAAGTAAAGAAAAAAGAAAAAAATATAAAAATTTTTAGATATATTGTTGAGTATGTTCAATACAAATAAATGAAAATATATATATATATATGTAAATATGTTCAATATAAATAAAATACTTCTTTTTTTTCTTTAATTTCTTTTGTTAACATTGACTATATTAATTAACATGAATAATATTTAAATAGCATTTATGAATTGTAGTTAATATTAAGTAAAAAAATTACTAATACATTATTAATTAAAATGTATAGTTGTATCTGTTAACATTAGTTAATGTACTATGAACTAATGAACATTTTATTAACATTAATATATATATTAATATATCACCTTGATAGTAAACAGTACCTGTAGGGAAGTGACAATTATATGTTGTATATGATGCGTCTCCGCTGTTGGTTGTAATATTGGTGAAGTAAATCCACACTTTGCTAAAGAAGCGTTAGCAAACTCTTGAGCAGCAACAACAGTACCATATACTCCGCCATTGTTGTGTATGTTTGTTCACGCTTGCCTTTAAAATCGACACGTACTGCGCATGTCTACATAACACGTACTACAAAAAAACAAAAAAAAACTAACACGTACTACGCACATGCATGACGTCACCATTTTCAAAGATTCCCGTATTGGGTGTTTACACGGAAACAATAACGGTGGAGTTTTCAAAAATATGTGTTTTCAGTCCCCAAAAAGGCAGCTGTCGTGTAAACGAACAGACAAAACGCATAAAAAGTTTCCCGTTTTTGGCTAAAAACGTCATGTAAACGGTCCCTTAGAATGAGATCAGATGTCTAATAGTTTTTTTAATTTTCTGTTATCAATAGAGCATTGTAAATGAATGAAAATAAGCATGTTTCCTCAGAATGACTTGTTCTCCATAAGTAAAAAGTTTGAAGAGTTTGGATAATGTACTTTAAAAATATAAGACAATTACTGTTTCCTCTTTTACTGTTACTTTAATAAATTGCCATGGCAACACCGTTCAAGATATCCTAAATCCGTTCGCAATTTAAGTTCCTCAATATTTTGCAATCATGTTGACAAGTTTGGTGTGAATTCCATGATTTTACCATTACCATGGTAATAGTATTTAAGCTATCAATAATCCCTTCCCAGTTTTGCATCTGCCGTGTTTTGACATTATTCTGATGAAGTTTGAAGCAAATCGAGTAAAAATAAGATGCTGAATTCAAAGCATTTTGAAAATGACACACTTCCTGCTGCCAGTTGGTGGCGCTATAACTTTCAGTCATAATAGTCATAAACCGCTGAAGTTTCATAAAAATCAGACATTGTGTGCAATAGTTATTATGCACATCCTGTTTATCATTTCTCGCCACAATTTCATCGCCTCGCCACGGGCAAACCGTTTGAGATATTAAAAATCCCTTCACAATTTAGCATCCCCAATGTCTTGAGGTCATGCTGACCGAGTTTGGTGGCCATCGTCCTAGGCCATCCTAGGAGGAGTATATCAAATTCCAGAGCATGTGCTTTTTACACAGCCCCTCATAGCCAACTTCCTGTTGGGCGGAGCCTATGACATGCAGTGCTAAAGTTGTTCGGCTCAATGAGATCTATATGTGTACCGAGATTCATATCAATACATGTAATAAAATGTCCACTTAAATGAAAATTCACCAAGCAAAGAGATAATGACACCCTGCGCTTAAAAAGAACAACGTTGTGTCGCAAATTGAACGCTCCTCAATTAATAAAGTCCAACAAGGATGGCTTTAACGAGGCGAGCATCTTGATAGTGTTAAAGCGGATGAAAGAGGCGAGAAATAAGATGAAAGTGCGCCGGGTTCATTTCTGATGTGTTATTAGGCGGCTGCTGGACAAGATGCCCCACAATGGACAGGTGATTATGGGAAATGAGGTGGCAATAGTGGCTTTCTTGCATTCTCCACCTCCATTTCTCAGCTGGCTCTCGTTTTATCTGGGCTGAAGGAGAGCTCTCGGCGTTATGACCTCCTCAGGCGGCCGCGCTGAGATTACCGCCTTTGAAACGAGAGCTATTTGATGGGGAGACGCCGAGAGCGGACAGGAGAGAGACGCCGTCGACAAATTCACACCACGCCACTTAAAGGAGCCGCCGAGAAATGTCAGGGTAGGTTTAGCGCGCAAAGCCGGTGAAAATGAGGGCACTCTTTGAACTGGAGGATTTTGACGAGACAAAAGATCGTCTGCTTTGGAACAAGACAAGGACGCGACGGCAAAAACATTTCATCAGTATCTGTTTTCAGTATTTATCGGTTATCTGTAATTATGATTAGCATTATAATTCAGGATTAATATTATAATTAGCACTGTAAATAGGAATGCACAATATATTGGTGATCATGTACAGCTAATATAAATAAATAAACAAACAAACAGCATAGAGATAATTATCGGTTATCTGCATTTATCGTTATCTGTAATTATAAGCATTATAATTCAGGATTAATATTATAATTCACATTGTAAATAGGAATGCACAAGTTATTGGTGACCATAAACAGCTAAAATAAATAAATAAATTTTTTTTTTTAAAAAAGCATAGAGATAATTATCGGTTATCTGCATTGATCAGTTATCTGTAATTATAAGCATTATAAATGCATAATAAATTGCTTGCCAAATATAGGCTAAATAAATAAATATTTGTTTATAAAAGCATCATTATCGGTTATCCGTGTCCACAAAGATAAATAATAATATTAAACATTAATATAAATTGTTATGTTAGTCATCAGTAACAAAAAATTAAGACAATTAAAAAATGAAAAATAAATTGTTAATAATATAAAAATAATTTAACTTAATTATCGGTTAACGTTTTAAAATTTCTACATTGGTGCATCACTTTATTTATAAGATATATATATATATATATATATAAAAATGCCCAAACAGCATTTATAATAGACATGTTGCGTTTTTCTTAAAAATAATGTTTGGCTTTTCTATCTCCCAAAATCAAAAAATGTAAATCTTAAAAGTCAATATAAAATCCATTTTTCTTCCATGTCAGACTAGGTTTAACGTGCAAAGCCGGCAAAAATGAGGACGCTCTTTGAACTGAATGATTTGGACGAAGCAAAACATCCATTTTGTTTAGAGACAAGGGCAGCGATGGCAAAAATGTCTGTGAAACTGTATGGATGTTCAATTTCATTTGGATGTTCAAAACCTAGGGCTGGACGATATGGCCAAAATTGCCATCGAAACTTTTCTGAAGACAGTCGGTTCCCTTCACAGATACATTTATATAAAACACCCGCGACATTTTTTGATTTTGAAACGTGCAGTGCTCATGTTTATTCAACGAAGTCAAACGGCTCAAATAAATCAATGTATGGGAAACTGGTAATGTATATCGAAATATCGGAAATGTGTTTAAAAATCATATCACCGTTATTGAAAAAAATTATATCGCGATACATATTGATATTGAATTATTGTCCAGCCCTACAAAACCTTGAAATAAATATGAAATAAAGATGACTGACAGGCCGTACACGATTATTAACTAATCAACTGCATCAGTAGCGACACTAATTAGAAAAAACAGCAAGTGCACCTGAAATTGACAGTTAAATTAAAGTTAATTGACAATATATGTCACTCTGGCACACTTCAAAGTATACATTCGAAAGGAGAATCTGACAAATGACACGAAAATAATGTCGAAATGCAAAAAAGCTCTATTTTCTTTATGCAAAATATTTTCCTTTTGATTTTTCATTTGATTTTGAGGTGAAATATGACCTAGAAATACATTTGACATAGGTTTTGTGAGATGAGTTCAGAGAAAAGTTCATGTTTCAAGTGACTGAGGTGGTTTGTTGATACCTGGGGTCTGGAAGTTGATTCGTCTCATCTCCACCGGGTCTGTGGGGTGGTGAGGGGTGATATCGGCGTTGTTCAGCAAACATTTCGTCCGTGGCTCTGACTCTTTACGTTTGCTACTTTATAAAAGGAAAGAAAACGCAAGGACTCAATGAAATCTGACAAACGAGACCGAAAAAAGAACAAGTACACCAAATCACAAGTGCACAAAATGACCACCCAGTGTTTCCTGACCAATTCAGATCAATGACTCATGATTTAGAATGATTCATCAATCAGTTTGACTGATTCAATTAGTGCCATACACTTATACTGTTAACAGGTATTAATAAAAGTCTGCACACTACTTTGTTTGCCAGAATTTACCAGTGCAGAAAACACTGTTTATAGTCTATAATCGAGGAAGCTAGATGCTAGCACAAACAAAGCTATGTTCACAAACACCACAGCCGAGGGGCACATTGGTTGAACCCACCATTTCATTGCACTGTTTTTCTCTGCCATCTAATTAAAAGTTGCTTTTATGCTGAGGCAGGTTGTTTTCTTTTGCCCCCTTGAAAACAGCAATAAAGTATAGCTAAGCCTTACCTGTCAGGCTTGCTGCTTCCAAAGAAAGCATTGAAGTGAAATAAATATATAAAAGGGAGAAAACACAACAAGAGAACAAGGGAGAGGAGAGGAAAAAAATCAATAGAGTGCATTTAAATTCACAGGGCAGGCTAGCGGAGCCAGATTAGTTCATCTGCATTTGGACAGACCTGTAAAAGATGTGTGTTTGCACCCACCGGGGGGCTATACGATCTCCAGACACCAGAGGTCAAACTCAAGGTCCTGCCGAGGGAGGAAATACTAGCCAGGAGTCATCCGCTTTTAACCTGGCTCTAGAGGCACTAATGAGGAATAGCTTCCCTTTGAGTTTCAGCACACTTGCATGCTAAAAGGTAAAGCGGTCTGCTTTGGCCGCGCTCTGAAGCTAACAGCTATTAGCTATCACCTCATTAATTTTTAATACAATCAAATTGATTGCTCTGCTCAGCTCCGCTTTGAACTTCTTCAAACTATGCCAATGCTGAGGGCTAAAATAAGCTTAAATCATTCTTTTAGCATTTCTGCACCTCAAAATGCATCTAGAGTGTCAGAGCGTAAGTTTGAAGACTGCTCCAACTACTCATTAACTGAAGAACTGAAATTTGTGACCGAAACTGAAATGTATAATTTATATTATATTACAATTACATTTACAAGTACACAATTACAAGTACAATTATATTATATTAATATATTTATAAATGTCCTTACAAATTATTTTAATGAATAATAATAGAAAATAGTATTTAATTTGTTTTCTATTGAATTTATTGTGACCAAGACTTACATTTATAATTAAATTATATTAATAAACAAAAAAAATTCTTATAAATGTCTGTACAAAACGTTTTAATGAATAAAACCAAACTATAGTATTTTATTATATTTACTTTCAATTTTATTAGATTTAAATTTATTGGGTCAGAAACTGAAATTTATAAATACATTATATTAATAGACATTGTAAATGTCTTTACAAAATATTTTAATTTATATAGTAATTAATTCTACTATTTGTCAATTGTAACTAATCATATTAATCTATAAATTATAATTATAAATGTCTTAACAAAAGCTTTTCAATGTAGTAATTTATTATAATATTTATTTTCAATTTTAATGAATTAAAAAAAAAAATATATATATTTATTTGAACAAAACAATGTATAACTATTTTTCATAAAACAACAGATAAGACAATAATACATAAAATCATTTTATATTATTGTTTTTAAATAAAATGTTTTGTAAAGATTTGTTTTATATTATATATATATATTTATATAATATAATATATAATTTTTGTGAAGGCACAAATTTCAAGTATTAAAGATAATGAGAAGCTTAAATTAGTTCTCATTTTGACTGGTAGTGTAAATTGTACAAATCGAAATAGTTTATATTCATTAACATGTCAAAGGTCCACTCACTTCTTGTAGAGGAGAATCGCAATCACAATACAGATTATGAAGACCACAGCGAGAACGGGTCCCACCACCCAGATGAGTCCGTCCCCTCCTGTCTCTATGGGCTGAGGGTCCACGTCTGGAGCTGTGACTGGATCCGTGTAGGGGCTGGACGCAAACGTTTTCTGCACAAAAGCAAAAAAAGGTTATAGCTATCTGCATTCGCCACTTTGCACGAGTCTTAAAACTTAAATTTCCCTCACCCCTCCGGTGGTGTTGAGCTCAGCAAGGATAAAGAACACATATTCCTGCCCGGGGTCCAGAGGCCTGTTTTCAAAGCTGCTGTACACCATCTGGTTGCCCAGGGTGAAGGACGGCGGCATGGATGAGGGCTTGAAGCTGGCAGCAATGTAGGGCCGCTTCCCGTCCACCTGCTTGAGCTGACGGGTGGTTCGAGCGTGACGTTGACCGAGTCTTCTGTCGCCCAACAGCTGTGGGAGAAAAAGACTGCTTGAGGAGAACTGAAACCAGCATCTAAAACACAACATATTCTGGTTGATTCTTCTGCGAACACAACTATCAAACAATTAGCAGCTGATGCTAAATAAAATGGGTTATTTACTCAAAAAAACAAACAAACAAAAACCAATCATTTTGAAGTCCAATAATACATAAACAGAATACAGGCACCCATTCGCCATTCACAGTTCAAGGTCAAGCGGCCAAGCGAGGCAGTTTGCCAGCGGGTAAGGATGAGAGCTGTGTAATTGTCCCCTCTCCCTGACAAACCCCTCAGGAACGTTCCCACAATGCTCCTGCGAGAACACTTTCCATGGCTTTGGCTCCACTGTGTCTGTGACACAAGGACAAAGACTTGAGAAAATAAGCTGCGAGTATGTTCACCTCTTCTAGGTCCAATTCATCTGGGCCCTTGATGTGTCGGATTGGACCTCTTCCCTTCTTCAGAGGAACCACCACAACATAGACCGCCCTGCAAGAGGTCAAGATGGTGCACAAAACCATTTAAAAAATTGCTAGTCAAAGAATTGTACAGAAAAATAACTACCTATCCACTAAATGTGATTATTTTTCCATGTTCCATAAAACTGGGAACATCTAGCTAAACGATTTTCAACAAAACCTAAAAAATTCCCTACACAAGTATGCGAACGCAGAAGTTTCAAGCGAAGCAAGCTTGATGTTGCTTTTCGAAACACAAACACAAAACGCAGTTCTTAAGTATGTGCTGCATTATCAGTATGGCCACAAGGGGCACTATAGAAAACAACAGAGCAAACTGTCTTCTACTGTGAGTTTTTCTGTCATTACTCCAAAACCGACACTTTTTTATAAGATTTATTTTTGGCTTTCTTGCCTTTATTATGATAGGATAGATCAGAGCTGACAGGAAGTGGAAGTGAAGACGGACTTCGAACTCAGGACGCCAATAGCGCAACAGCGCTGTATGTCTGTACGCTGCCCACAAGGCTACCTTTTTAAGATTTATTTTAGGTGTTTTATGCCTTTATTACGATAGGACAGTGGTGGGCCGTCAGGGCCAGCAAAGCCTTCTCTGCTGGCCCAAACACTATCAGAATCACTGATTTAGTTTTAATATATTTTTTCATGAATGTGTATTAAATTATTTCCAATAGTCTATTCTCTTCAGTTCATAGCTTTTCTCTTGGTTGCACTGCTTCCAGCAGTGTATGTTTATATTAGAGCTTTTATCCAATCATATTTCAGCAATCGTGTTGCCAGGGTCAAAGAAATCTGCCTTAAGGCCTTCAGAATCAACAGCGCAGGCGTCTGTTAGCTTAAATCAATAGCAATGAAACCGTTGCTTTAACCAATTTCATATCTTTTCTCTTGGTTGCACTGCTTCCAGCAGTGTATGTTTATATTAGAGCTTTTATCCAATCATATTTCAGCAATCGTGTTTCCAGGGTCAAAGAAATCTGCCTTAAGGCCTTCAGAATCAACAGTGCTGGCGTCTGTTAGCTTAAATCAATGGCAATGAAACCGTTGCTTTAACCAATTAGATTTCGAGTTGGCAGCACCAGGGCCATCTAGCTGGCTAACGATTACGTCAGCATTTTCTCGTCCTTTGATTGGATGGTCAGCATACTCGCTAGCAAACAGCATCACTGTAAATCATTTTATTAAAACTTCGTATAAAACTTTTATTACTGTTTCTCAGGTTTAGATTTTCAGTGCAGTTTGAAAAAATATTTGCCTAAGTGGGGGGGGGCGGGTAAGGAAAGGTCCATAAGTCGGAACTTGAAATTGGGACACCTGAAGCACAACAGCGCTACATGTCAGCACGCTGCTCATGAGGCTATTGGCGCTGACAACATCGACATTTTTAAAGAACCCCATTTTTCCAATTTGCTTGCGTCTGCGTTCACATGCTTGAATAGAATGCGTTTCTGACCTAGAACAGCATTTGGTTTTCCTTACTTGATCAACTCTTTGGATTCCAGCGGTGGGAAGACAATGGTCAGAGTACTGTCTGGCTCTCTTTTCGGGTCCAACTCTGGCTTTCGGACCAGAATAGGTGGCGCCGTTAGTGCGATGAGCTTGTGTTTGGGTCCACCGTCACTGCTCTCCTGGCAGGTGATTCTGAACTCGTAGGTGCTGTTGGGTCGCAAGTTGGTGATGAGAGCTTTGGTCATCCTAGCGTCAATGTCAACCTTCTGCCGGTTGTACTCGATCTGAGGACCAATGTGCATCGATAAATTGTTCAAAAACAGATCCTGGCAATAATACTGATATTGAATGAACAAAACAGGATTCATTAGCTCACTTACCATGCAGCGGTATGGGAAGCGGCTATCGGAAAACTTCCAGGTCAGCAGTACCGTGGTTTTGGTGGCCAGCTTCACGGTGAAGTTCTTAGGAACATCTGTCCAGAGGTGAACGGAGGAAAGACACTTTAGAAATGGAAAAAGCACAACAAGACAAGGGAAAGAAGGCTGACAGAGTGTTCGACGCTTGCGACCAGTTTTCCCCCAAAGGAGAGGGGCTTTGGTCCCTCTGAGTGAGTGGTGTGTGGCGTTAGCTGTGAAGGGGAGGGGGGAGGCGCTCAGTTGGGACAAACAGCACGCTAGACTAGACTGGTGAACACAGAACCACAGGATCGCACAGTACTCTGCCTGCCCTGGCCCGGCAGTGCCGCCCCAACAAGAACATTTGGCAAGCAGCTCCCATAATCCCCCCTGAACGATTCCAGAATAGCTGAACCCACATTATGTTTGAGTAACCCACTGCTGCGCGCTCTCGAATTTGGATAGGCACTGCCGTGGCAGAAAGCCCGACAGGAATGAGGACAATCCCCAAACACAGTTGTCATGCCCACACTTGTTAGCAGTGCATCATGGGACACCATGCTGCAAACCATCCCAGTGTGGGAGCGGGGGGGGGAAGGTGAGTACAGAAAAGAGGAACCGTTAAACCAAACAACGAAAAATGCAGAAGAAAACCCAAACAAAGTAAACAAATGTGCCTGATTCGACTTCAGATCTGGGATCTCCTTGACGTAGCTCTCGCCTACCTTGGAATACTAGGGGAGTTTTGTGATTGGATGAGTGAATGTGCTGGGCGTGTCTGACCAATCGGCACTTACCTCACAAAAATTGATGCTCCTCCCCTTTCAAAACTGACTGACTTTAACTTACTGACTTATTTTACCTTGTTGTGGGGGAGGGTGTTAGTGAGGTATGTGGCTCCCAGAGAACTTTATATAATCGGGTGTAGGTGCTTGCATTGTAGAGGTTTGTCCCTTGAGGCGGGGAAATGAGCAACCCATACCTGCTTCGTAGGCCACTGTTTCATACTGGATCGATGGGCTGTAGGGCCCTGGACCTACACTGGTGTGCGCTCGAATTTTCACATCGTACACTGCGTTGGGCCTCAGGCTGTTGAGGGTGTAGCTGTTCTCACTTGCCGGCAGACGCAGTTCCTTGGGTCCGCCAACCATTCCGGCCTCTTGGTAAGCCAGTGTGTATTCTGTTATAGCGCCGTTGCGCTCCGCTAGCACCGGAGGCAACCAGGCAAATTGGAGCGAGCAGCAGGTAATGTTAGACCCTTCGATTATTTGCGGATACCCTCGAGGAACCTCCTCTGGGACTTTTAGTTCTCGGGTAGCCTCTTCACCAAATCCCGATCTGGACTTGGCGGACACTTTGAAGACATACGTGGCCCCTCGGTGGATATTGCTAATGGAATATTCCAGCTCCTGAGGGCCGAACTCCAGCGTGGCCAGGGGGCTCACATGCTTTCGGCCAATCTGTAGCCGATAGCCTTGCACCTCGAGACCCGGAGCAACGAAATCTGGGGGTTGCCAGCGCACTAATGCGGTAGTCTCTGAGTTTTGGTTGACGGAGAGAAAGGGAGGCCCCGGCACTGCAAAAAGAGAAAGAGGGACATTACATTCAATTGAAATGAACCGTATCTCACATAAGTCAGTTGTATCGTAACTAGGTGTATTTTCATCCTGGTACTCCCTACTAAAGAAAAGCCATTTAAAATGACTTTAAATGGATTTATTACAAACCCAGTTCCTGTAAAGTACCATTATATAAGCATGTACATTTTGTACAAACTATCATAAAGGCACTAACAGCACATATACTCCTTACTCAAAATGTTACCCAGAGAGTCTGCGAGTCAGAACAACCTGTTTTGAAAAAGCTATTAATTTTTAAGTGACTAGATGGTTGTTGAACAGATCACTGGATGAGAGATGGTGGGTTAACAGCTGTATGATAGAGAAGGAGAGCATGAGAACAGACAGGAGGACGAATGACTCCAGGAAAAAAAAGAAGTGCTGATGAAGGTGACGGGGAAAAGGCGCAATCTGCCGCTGCGAGAGGACAACGAGGGTCAGAGACGCCGTGATTGTGGCCCGCTTCCCCTCGCCAATGGCACTCCAGTCCACTCCACTGGACGACACACAATCCTCTCCACAGGACCACAGGCACGTTTCCCATTAGGCCTTGCATTAACGGCCACTGTTGACCCACAGCCACTGATTAAGATAGGATTGCGTTTCACACTCACGCCCTCCCCCCTTCTATACTTCCCTTTTTCTCTCTGTCCTTCTCATCTCCAGTGGAGGAGACGCCGCTACAAAAAAGAGGAACAAAATAAAATAACCTTCAGCTAACATGCAATTAACCTGCCGACAGGACTTACAGGGAGTTATATTAAGCGTATAAAGCACGACTGCCAGCTGACATGACTTAGCCCTGAGAAAACTGCAGCGCTGCATTCTGGGCCGAACTGATACCAAATATACAAAAGACAAGGGCAAAACCAACCAAATATGTCTGAATATAACTGTCCGACTAAATTTCCTCAGCACAGGATAACAAAAAGTTAAATGTAATTAACATTCTTTAATTTTTCTACAATACACAAGAATTTAATCAAAGTAACATTCCACAAATGAACATGTTTGTAGTGATTTTACCATGGTAAAGGGCACATGGGCATCAAGCAAAGTTGTTGCTTTTATAAAATTTTAGCAACAGCAGAAACAGACACAACTGTTCAATATATAATTAAATTAAATCTTCTACTAAGTGCTCAGCTATCTGTTTACAGTTTTCAGGAAATGTACCAATTTGGTGCACCAATAAAGATTTCAAAGACAGCTGATCCAATCTAATTCTAGAGCTGGAACTATACGTTTCATAAAAATAAACAAAATCAATTTATGAGCACCATAATGCCAGTTTGTAATCCCATAATTCAAAAACCTCAATCTACAGAAAGTTCAACTCCATGCCACAGTGTCCTGGCATCAGACGATATTAGACAAGAAGCTCCAGAGACCAACCGAGGAGCTTCACTCTCCACAATCAGGACTGGAGCAAGTGGCCCTAAGTGGACCAATTAATTGAAGAGAATAACCACAGTGCCGGGAGGATTGTGAGTCATCCAGACTCTCTGTTCCCTGAGCCGTGGCGGCCGTCCAAGCGGACACTCGTGAAGAACACCTCCAGCCCCTGCATTAGCATGCAATCTGCTCATCTCCCACAAGGATGAAAGGAGACAGGAGGAAATTTAAAAAAGGAAGGCTCGCACTTGATCGGAATCTGGCCTACCGACGCCTAAACTTAAAGATGTGACGGTTTGTGTTTAAAGCACGTGGAATCGCGAATGATAAGGCGCATTAGCAAAGGGTTTGACAGCATGCACATCAACCAGTCCATCGGCTCTGAAACAAGAACAGAATCAATCATTCCTGTGTCATTCCTCCTGGACAACAGGCAGCATCAATTAGATCGATAGAAGGACATCTGCTTTGAGATCAAGGCGCAGGAAACCGATAACGTAGCTCTTTGAACGCAGCATTAATAATGTTTGTCAATATGGTTGACGTGTGCTTAAACATAATACAAAAAATATAGTTTCTATTCATTTTTATTTAATTTAGTTATTTTAGAAATATTAGTATATTTTTTAATGATTTGAATTCATGCTAATAACCCTGAATATTTAAAACGTATTTTTTTTTTAGAGGTTTTCCAACTTAATTTTAGTTGTAGTAATTTTGTTGTGTGTTTTTGCCATTTTTTGTTTACATTTATAGTTTTTATTAATTTATATCTTAGTTGTGTTATTTTAGTGCTTAAACAAAAAAGAGAAATGTTGCCTTGGCACCTAGCTGAAATTAAATATATGGTTTTTATTTCATTTCAGTTGATGTTTTATTTAATTTAACGATAACAACCCTGATTTTCACCACTAAAATATTACTGCTCACTCCAGCGCACATTATTTTGTTGCATGCAACTGGAATGACATCTTGGCGTGTTCGTAGAGCCTGACTGACGGGCTTCACGCTGCCGGGTCTCCGTTCTGAAGTGTATCTCCGACATGCAGAATGGCAGCTCGGGGACAGCCGGCTCTCTCAGATGACAGGCGGCCTTGTGGACGGTTCGGGGTTTGAAAGGGGCGGGTCGGCCCTTATCAATACAATAAGGCAGGGGCTTAAGTTGTCTGACAGCATTATGTAGCAGAAATGAGGCATGAAAGTGCCCCGGAGTGGCTCCTCTGAGCCCCATTGGTCAAGCTTCCCCTCTGTTCTGGCACATGAAAGAGCATGGTGCCACTTCTTTAAGTAGGGCTGAGTCTGCCCTTGTTTATTTATTTATTTATTTTGTCTGCTGTAAGCATTTCGCCACACTTTCGGAGGCGGGAAGCGCAGGGACATCCTTCCTTTGACTGCGCCACATCACTGTGTGAGTGAGAGGGAGAGAGACAGGCATTCAGAATGACATGCATATATGGCGCCGCTGTCACACTTGACATTTGCAATCGGCACACCTGTCTCGTCAGCGTCTGGAGTTTGAGAGCTAACTGCAGAGGAAAACCGACTACGCATATGTGGCTAGCTAATATATCTTATTAGCATTATTCATATACTATACTGCTCAAAAGGTACTTCAAAATATATCATGCTATTAGCATGATGGTAGTGTCCAAAATTCAGTCAAACCCCCACTGTTCTTACACTATGGATGCATATTTTCAAAACGGACTAGTTAGTGGGCTGTCAGGTGAAAATCTTACCATCAGCAAGGATTAGCACTATTTTAACTTAACTTAAGGCATCTTAAAAGAAAAAGCTCATGGCGTCAGATGCATAAAAAACAATGAGAAGCAACGCAAAAGCCAAAACATGATCGTCTACATGTATACAGAGATAGAATACTAGCATGATGGTAGTGTCCAAAACTCACTAACATGGTATTCACTTTTCTGGTACGTTTAGGCAAGGCCAACCTGATCATTCTTACACTAGGGATGTATAAAACAACATATTTTCAAAAGAGACCAGTTAGATGGCTTGTAGTAGAAGTGAATAATCAGACAGGATTAGTGCCATTTTTACTTAATGTTGTACCTTAAAATAAAACACTCATGGTATCAGACACATAAAAAACAAAATATGAAAAAAAAATCTAACAGCTAAAACATGTTTGTCTGCATGTGTACAGAGAAAAAGTACGTATAAAAATGGCATTAACATTGCATGGAAATAGTGATTCTCTTCCCTGTACAATTAGGCTAACACAGCAAGCTAATTTACTAATCTGTGGTTAACTGGTCCATCATTCTGACCCACTAATGCCTTACTCAAACTTCAGCCCTCTACATCAGTTCATGTTTTCTGAAAACTAAACTTTGTTGCAGTAGCAGGCCATGTGTGGCTAACCGCTAATGCACAATCCCAGCTATACGTTCCCTTATAGCTTTTATGTACTCCAGACACACTATATAGGCCATGTTTGTTTTTTCTTATTCGATTGAAGTCCCTTAAGGTTAATTTTGCTCCTGTAGCTCATAACACCTGGCCTGCGGTGCTCTGGAGCTCGGCTAATGATAACGTCATTATTACCGACCTGCTCCTTTAGTCACCACCAGCTTGGGTTTGCTGCGGGCTCCGTCTCCTTTTATATATATATATATTCAGAAGTGCACTTAATTTCTACAGCAATGTGGATCATTATTATTGGCATTTAGCGTGTCATCCAGCATGACCAGGTTATAGATTACAATTCCTGCTCATCTACGACACATGTCTGTGCATTAATTCAACAGAGAGCCTGAGCAAACAGACTGTCAGAATAATGCATTTCTCTCCAGGTCGGCCGGTAAGCTGTGAGCACACACGCCCTTCTGATGGCCTCCTATTTTCCAATATTTCACGTGAAAGTGAGTGAGCTTTGATCAGCGCGCATGACGGAGAGGAAATTAATGCAATGCGCTTGCAGAGAAAAAAGCAACTGTGGGTCCTGCAGCTTACAGAGAATTGCGCTTCACATCAAACCAGTTCAAGATATTCATGCAATTTTTGGGTTACACAAATGATCTATTTATAAAAATAAATATCACCAATGTATACCTAATTTCTTCAAAAGGTTGCTTGAATTTTGCACAAAATAAGCTTAGTTTTTGTTTGTACTTTACTTAATGCACAACATCACAGCACAAAACACCCTTTCATGCCAGGCATAAAGGAACCCTGATGTTACATCATTCCCCCTGTGCACCATTAATATTTTTCTATCGCCGATCTGTGGTTAACTGGTCCATCATTCTGACCCACTAATGCCTTACTCAAACTTCAGCCCTCTACATCAGTTCATGTTTTCTGAAAACTAAACTTTGTTGCAGTAGCAGGCCATGTGTGGCTAACCACTAATGCACAATCCCAGCTATACGTTCCCTTATAGCTTTTATGTACTCCAGACACACTATATAGGCCATGTTTGTTTTTTCTTATTCGATTGAAGTCCCTTAAGGTTAATTTTGCTCCTGTAGCTCATAACACCTGGCCTGCGGTGCTCTGGAGCTCGGCTAATGATAACGTCATTATTACCGACCTGCTCCTTTAGTCACCACCAGCTTGGGTTTGCTGCGGGCTCCGTCTCCTTTGGTGGTGTAGGCTGCCACGGTGATGGAGTACGTGGTGTCAGGCTGCAGGCCCCCGATGACCATCTCCTGTGGTTAATGGACACAAAGAGGGAAGTTAGCACTATGTTATGGAACTGAATTTTTTAAAGACTTTACTACATGTCACCTGCACAGGCCTGGCATCAGTTTCCTCTCTTTTCAATGCCACAGCCTGCAATCTGTACTCTGCTGTCTTTTTTTAAAAAGTATATTAAACTAGCAACTTGTCACATTAATACCGAATGTCACAACATCACAGCACAAAACACCCTTTCATGCCAGGCATAAAGGAACCCTGATGTTACATCATTCCCCCTGTGCACCATTAATATTTTTCTATCGCCGTCACACACACACACACACACACACACACACACAAACACACAAACACACACACACACTGGACGTGAGGTTGCATTAGTTTTCTCTCTCTGACAAAAATCAGCTCATTATAAAAATCTTGCAACACAAAAATGGTTTACATGACACTTTATCTTCAACGCATCAATCTATATGCATCAATATGAAAGAAAAATATATTTTTTGAGATATTTTAATGACCCTGGTTTATCCCTCTCATAGACCCATTCAATTGTCTCATTTCTCACTTTTTCTAAATTTAGAGGTCAGTTACAAAAATATTTCTTCCCTGATGAGACTCTGAACCACTTGGACTTGAAAGGAACATGTTTTTCTTCCAATCTACCAATTTGTACAAAGCCAAAAATCTAAGTTCCTGAGATATCATGCCCTAAACTTGGCTTTCTGGATATCTGAGCTTTACAAAATGAAAATCTACATGAAATATTTACACACCTCAGTTCATTATAAAAATCTTGCAATGCAATGCAAAAAAAGGTTTACATGAGACTTGAACTTCAACATCCATGCATAAATCTGTGCATCAATCCATTCAATTTTCTAGAATTTTTACACATTTACCAAGTTTAGAGGCCAGTTTAGAAAATATTTCTACCAGGATGACTCTCTGAACCACTAAGACTTGAAGGGAACACATTTTTCTACCAATCTACCAATTTGTACAAAGCTAGCAATCCAAGTTCCTGAGATATCATACCCTGAACATGGCTTCTCAAGACATTTATGCCTATTAAAAAATGCTAGAATCCACATGATCTACAGTGTTTATGACATTTCCCCAATAAAAACAGCATTTGAATTTCTGCCTATAAACATGTTCAATGACTGAGATACAAAGCGGGTCTGATGTAACATCACAGGTTCTCACATCACACCGAACACTCGCCGACAGCCATACTCACATATTCAGCTGTGTCGTCCATTTCCCACTAACATCCCCCACCCGGGAGGAGAAAGAGGGAGCACGGTTTGAAAGAGAGGAAAAAGACAGACAGAAAGAAAGAGAGGAAAGCGTAAGACGAAACAAGGTAAAAGTGCCAAGGAAATGGAAGAACGGCAGAGTGTTTTAAAGTAGGTCAGTGTGGATTAGGGTGAAAAAAATCATGAAGATTGAAGACGAGGCAGGAAATTGAGTGGCCGCTGCTATCTGAGCATGTCATTCCTGCAGTTTTTTCTTCACCATTTCATTTAGTAAGAGTATAAAAAGGCTGGTTTGGAATTTAATATCAGATCACAACAGCTATTCTTCTGAAAAATGCTCCAAGTCTTATGCGATTCAAAATGTATTTGATGTCTAAAAGTTTTGGGATAACTCACCTCAACCCCAAAAATGTACTTTTATTCAAAATGTTCACATGAACATTTTATTATTTTATCATTACATAAATGTTTGTGATATTTAAACAGACCAAAACAAATAATAATAAAAAAATCACCTTTTGTACAGAATAAACATAGAATCAATATTATTGTATCGTGACCCAGATATCGATATAATACCAACCGATTCCCACGCAGCTGACAACTGTAAATGATACGGTCATAAACATAAGCGGGATAAATTCAAAAGCTTTAGTCACGGTTTGTTCAAAGCTGTAATATTTGCAGCTGTGAGGAGAATAAGGCACATGGTATCTGTAATTTCACTGTTTTCATGACAGAAGCTTGTATTATAATTTTAGGTTGCAGCCAGAGGCGCTCGCTTGCTTTTTCTTCTTTTTTTCTTTCTTTTTCTGCCGCTTCTGCTTTTAAATCAAGTCGGAATTGTGATCGCAGTGCTCAAGTGCCTCATGTTTTTGTGGAGCTCTCGGGGCGCTCAATACGGCTGACATAATCAGCTTTTGTTGACTTTATCTATGACACTAGAGCCTTAGAGGTTAAACTTATTAGAGGTTTGACTAAACCGTGCAATTCTAATGGCTGATAAGATGTTTTGGACAGCTTGTGGAAAGCATTCTAGAGGCTATAAAAGAACTTCACAGATTAAATTGTTTATAAAAAGATTTTCATACATTTGTTGCAGTGGCCATGAGTGTGTTAAATACTTGCAAGATATTGGGTCGCATTTGCTGCAACAGTATCCTAAAAATAGACATTAACCAATTGTCTGCGCACCCTTGATGACGTCAGTTAAAAAGGAAATTGGAAAGAAAAACAATAAACAACTACCTTTTTGTTTCAGGAAATGTTAATATTCAGCACAGCGGCATTGTTGCGTTAACATACCTGTGCATCGGCGAGCATGACGTCCTTGATGAGGGGCAGGCCACGGGATTCGCCGTTCTCGACACGGACGTAGTGCACCTGGTATCCACGGATCTGCCCGTGCTGTTTCCCTGGCAATAGGGAGCGCCACATTACCTTGATGGTGGTGGAGTTCAGCACCTCAACCTCCACACGCCGAGGGGGGGCCCCGGGCACTGCAATGGGAAAAGATGACACGCTATGAGGTATTGAGATTACCATATTATCATTAAAACTACATTTTTAAAAACATTATGGTGGCTTTTGCCTGTGCAAAACTCACCAATATGATGCTAAGGTGTTGCTTTGTGCTACTTGAGTTACTTACCTAATTTTTGTTCATATTACTAACTCTTAGTTTGAGCAATGGTAGTAGTGATAATTGCCTTAGCATTTTCATCATGAATGGGACATAAGAAGTCAATTAAAGCTTATGTTTTACAATCAAAACACACTGATTAGTATCTTTAGTTTTTAATGAGCATAATTAAAACCCACTCGTCTAGAAATGTTTCACTTTTTACCAATTTTAGGGGTCAGTTTTAAAAATATTTTTATCCTGATGAGACTCTGAACCACTTGGACTTGAAGAGAACACATTTTTCTACCAATTCACCAATTTATATATAGCTAGCAATCATCACACCTAAGATATTACACCTAAACATGACTTTCCATATGTTTTTTGGGCTTTAAAAAACAAAATTGTTAAAATTTGCATTAAATATTTTACACACCTCGGTTCATTATAAAAATCTTGCAACACAATAAAAGTGTTTATATGAGACTTGAACTTCAACATGAATGCTTATATCGATGCGTGTCCATCCATTTTCTTTGTGACTTTGTGATTACCACTCGATCATCTAGAATTTTTTCACTATTTATTAAATTTAAAGGTCAGTTACAAAAATATTTCAACCCTGATGAGACTCTGAACCACATGGACTTCACAAAAACTAATTTTTCTACCAATCTACCAATTTATGCATAGCTAGAAATCATAGTTCCTGAGATATCATATCCTAAACATGACTTTCCAGATGTTTTTGGGCTTTAAAAAGCATGAAAATTTTTAAATCTACATTAAATATTTTATACACCTCAGTTCATTATAAAAATAATGCAACGTAATAAAACTGTTAACATTAAACTTGAACTTCAACATGAATGCATATATCTATGGATGTCCATTCATTTTCTTTGTGACTTACTTCGTGATTACCACTCTTTTACTCACTATTTACCAAAATTAAAGGTCAGTTATAAAAATATTTCAACCCTGATGAGACTCTGAACCACTTGGACTTGAAGAAAGCACATTTTTCTACCAATCCACCAATTTATACATAGCTAGCAATCATGGTTCCTGAGATATCATACCCTTAACATGGCTTCCCAGACATTCATTAGCTATTAAAAACATGAAAATTTTAGGATCTACATGAAATATGTTACAGACCTCAGTTTCAGTCCCATATAAACTAAATCTTCTTTAATTACATCTGATTCGGCAAGGACAGACTCTCTGTGTGATCTAAAAATAGTGCAATGTACCAATTATTACTGAGCACCTTAAGACCGTACGATACGCCATCTCTGTATGGCTGAAAAGAAAATAAGCTCCTGCGTCTCAGCTAGTAGAAAAAAAATTAACTTAAATGATTTTAGCAAATGGCTGCAATATAACAAAGAGTGAAAAATTTAAGGGGGTCTGAATACTTTCCGTACCCACTGTACATTCAATTATGTGAAAACCAGGCTACTGATTAAGCGCCCATCTTCAGGGACATTTAATCAACTGTAATATCACACCCCCATATACCCGAGCAACCATTTCATTCCCTTCCATTTCACTATCTTTCTTATCTGAGCACTGATCAATTCGCGAGTCTGCCGTCTGCAGTCTTTTACCTGCGAGCTAATGAAAATCCTTTTATACGAGGCCTTGATGTTTAATACCGCCGGTCATTCAGTACTGCTGTAAGGAGGAGACCGATTTCCTGGATGGTCAATAAAAGACGCCATAAGGGGATGTACTGTATATTGGGGCCTGACTATTCCGTATTAGATGCTATAACAGTACAAGTCTCCAAGGATGTGACTGTCGTAATGCATCGCTACTCAAATAACTCCATGTTGTGGGTTGGTCAAACGAGATTTCCCAGCGGAGGTCTTGGGGTAGCGTTCCCTCTCTCCCGACCCGCCTACAGTTGTTGACCGGCCCGTCAAAACTATCCATCCTAGGGCGGCCCAAAGCGCCAGTGAAAGGCTGTGCTCCGTATTGATTACTAGCTTGTATCTTGAACTAGCGCTGTCAGTCATGGAGAAAGACTGCTGTCACCGGGGAACGTCCGACACAATTTCTTACTCTAGCTGGATTTATTTCAGTGCTCATAAGCTGTCCGAGTGCTTTACAAAGAGAAGTGATGGATGAAAATGATGCTAAGTCAATGTTTCCTCTATCACGCAATGCTAGTCAATAGATCTTGTCCTGAAAAGAGTAAGCTGTCTACACGGACGTATAATCAACATTTCTCTCGCCTCATCCACCATCTTGGACTTATTTTCTCACTAAACTTGGCCAGGGACCATATAAGGTCACTGAAAAATGAATGGGGGAAATTATAAGACCAAATATGGTGGCTGTGGGAAAGTAGGTACAGCCTTTTAGTTAAAAGAGCCAATTGCGTTGAAGCTTGAAATCATTAAGAACAGATCCATTACAACTAATGATATAAAATGTTAAACATTTAAAACATGTAAAACAAGATCAATGTACTTGAGAATCAACACTGTGTACGATAATACAAGTGTATTTTGTCTTTGTGAACTGGCATATTGTAAAAAATTATTTTTCAAAGTTGTAAATAAAGATTACTGGAATACACTTTACAAAAATACTATTTCAGTCTTTAAACTGTTAGATTTTGCTGTATTTGGCTGAGCAGTGGTTTGGGTGGCTCGCCAATTTCTCCAATACATAAAATAAGTAAGCTTGACCAGAGTTCTTGTGAGGAGAAGAATTTACTGAAGGTAGCAGTGTAGCAGCTCTTCAACAGTGATGTTAGCTTGTCGGTCTTCAAAAAATCTTAACCCTTGTAAGAGTCTCAGCTTCTCCCAAAGTTCTGTCTGTGAGACAAATAATAGATACTGTTAGGACCTTCTGTAGGAGTTCCTGAGGAGTGCTGTTCCTTTGTTATTCTAATTGTACGGACCATTATGTTCACACCTTTGTGTGACTGTTTCTCTTGATTGCATCTGAGACACAATCCCAATCTAAATGCATCTGATTAAAGATACATATAATCTTTCATTGCTTCAAAATTTCATGTTTAATTCAATGTGTTACTGCCCATTTATTTGTAATTAATTGTAAAATTTACTAGCAATTTCTGAGTGACAATTTATTTCCAGTGTAGATTTTTTAAAAACTTATTTCAGGTTAAAAAAAGTAATTAGATTCAATCTATGAAAACAAATATTGGTATCTTATACAGTGTTGTTTCTCAATGAAACTTCTCTTCTAGCAAACTTTTAGATATTTCAGCTAGAAAACAAGTCAAAAGACTCATTTTAAATTACCGTCCTCGTCTGTGCGGCACAGCAGCGGCTCGCTCTCGGGGCCCGGACCCACGCTGGTGGAGGCCGCCACGGTGACTCGGTACAAGGTCCACTTCTCCAGCCGCTGCAGCTGGATCTGATTGGAGCTGGGGGGCACCGCTGGCTCCTCCAAGGGCTCCGTGTTGACCTCGGCCCCGGCCCCCACCACCGCGTAGCGCACTATGTACCCGGCCAGCGCCCCGTTCTGGCTCTCGGCCGGCGGAGGGCGCCAACTTACCAGCAGGGTGGTGGAGCTGGAGCTGGAGCACTTAATGTCTTGAGGGGGGGCGGAGGGCTCTGCTCAGGTTTGGGAAAGGGGGAGAGGAGGGGGTGGAAAACAAAAAACGAAAAGATGGGAAAGAGAAAAAGAAATGATAAAAGGGAAAAAACAACTGAAAAAAACAAGCAGAGACATACTGAAACATAAAAAAAACAAGGAAAACAAATGCAAAGGGCAAATGCAAACAGAAGAGCTTGGTTTTGAAGGGGTCAGGGTGTTTGGCATGCATGCATAAATATGAAGCATGAAGGTTTAACTTTGGCTTGATTTCCGTGTCACAGATCTAGAAGTAACACCACAGATGTTGGGGGCGTAAGATACAGCAGTTTATCCAACTATAACCGGCTGTATGCGAGCCAAAGATTTAGCCCATCTTTCACAGTAAATACCCTGGGCTCTCAGGATATTTTTCCACCATGAGGGGAAAATAGATCACATTATTTGCATTTGAATGAAGGCCATTCATTGCAGTATTTCGAGTTTTTTTTTGTTGGCCTCGCACATATCAGAAATTACAACGTCTGTGCTGTTCTAAATCAATACAAAAGTCTCGTCTGAAATGCACAGAGTCTCTGCTTATTAAATGCTTGCACATATGAATGCATTATACCGTTTAAAGCGCCGAACATTTATCTCCATTGTAAAATTGAGCATTAAAAGTTACTCTGTCGCGCTGATCCCTGAAGCCATAAGTAACACAAATGAATGAGTGGGAAACGGACAGACGGGGATAAAACATATTTGTGACTGAAATTCAAATGGATGAGCACCATCGTTGGAAAGCAAAACAAAATCATTCAAAACGGATTACAGGAAAATGAGGAAAACTCTCTGCGAAATAATGGCTGGAAAGAAAATGTTAGGACCAAAATGTCAACTCAGAAAAATCATGGAAAGCCACCAAGCTTCGAACAGAAAGTAAGACCATTGAAAACAGCAAAAACCAAAACAAAAGCAAAAAACACAAAGCATTTTCCTGTACATTATACGTACCTGACATCTTCAAACACTAACTTTTAAAGACTTTCTTACCACAAGCACCCGATTCCAGGGAGGCTATGTTTCCCCAGATTCGGTTGGGTTCGGCCCTCTCCCTCTACTGCCAAGCTCATCCAATACAGCTCAATTCAAACTATTCACGTTAATTTAGCCTAGTCCATTGGTTTAGTCCAATAATGTGAATGTCGGGATGTTTTTTTGGTCGGAGGGAGAGAGCTTTCCCCGTGCTTTCATCAGTCTGCACTATTCACTGTTTACACTAGCCTGAGGGTCCACAAGATTGAGATCAGGGTGCTAGCACCTCTCTTACACCCAGCCATTCATAACCAAGTTATATAACCCACCCCAATTCAACCCATCAGCAGCCCACTTGTGCTTTTGTTTGAGAAATGGTTAACCGATTTGTCCCGTCACCAGCCAGCTTTCATAACAGGTGTCTCACAGTTCAGTGAGCGACATTATTCAGAGCCTTGTTTATTCACCAAATGGGCTTATTGGATTAAAGTTTTATTGGATTTTCATCTTCCGTTTGAAGATATATTCTGAAGATGTACTTCCTCTCTTGAAGAGTATTTGCATTCAGTTATCGTAAATCGACCTGGTTTGAGTGTGGCAAGAAAGTTTGGTATCTGAGAGTTGCAGAACTACCTGAAGGTTTACTCATGATTCTGGGGATGTATTATACATCAAATGCAACAAAGCCTTGAATTTCAGTGTTCGAAATGAAATGACTATTAAAAAAACAAGAGTTGTGCCTCAACACCAAAATCGAAAGGCGTTTACTTATAATTTATGACTTAATTATCCAGATCCATGCCAAATGGTGGCACTGGCAATTGGGAGGGGCTTAACCCCCCCCCCGAGTTTTTAAAAAACTCAGATTTGTTTGGATAAAAAGGTTGGAATTAGTTTACCAACTTCTATGAGTGTAACAATCAATTGACAAGACTGTGGACCTCCAAATAAAATCACTCTTCAAAACTAAGAGTTGTGCCACAAAATCAAAATTGAAAGATGTTTACTTTCACAATTATTGACTTGATAATCCAGATCCAAATTGTGGTGCTGCTTCAAACAAGCCAAATGAGAGGTGAAAAATAACGGCAGTAGAGATTTGCTTGGCTGAAAAGATTGGAATTAGTTTGCAAGCTGGACTCAGGCAACTGATTAAACCCATTGGACTTAATCTACTTGTGGACCTCCAAGATGTTCTTGCACTAAACCCAAGACCAAGACCGGTGCAGAAACCCTTGCCCCTAGTTTGTGGACCCTCTATGACCATGTTTGAAACCTTAGCATCACTCAATAGCCATTGACTCTTAAGCGCATTTCCCACTGGCACCCACTTGGTCGAGGCAGGAGTGTCTATCTCCACTAACCCTCGAAAGTTTGAACATATCCTCCAAAGAGTTGGGGGATATGGAGGGTGAGGTGAGTACTCTCTGCTGGACCATTGCAGGGGCTCGTAACTGTGGGCTGACCCACAAACAGTGACCTGACTGGGCGTCAACTGAACAGCACTGTACCAAAAGAAACAAACACAATAAACTTTTCTTTCGCGCCTTCATGAGGAAGTCCAGTCTGCCACTTGGTGTAGTTCAAAACATATATATGAAGAGGTAATCCATGTATAATCTGGCTCATTAGTGTTTAAATGTCTTGGGAACTCTTGGTGAAGACAACGGCACTCTTTCCAGCTTGTAAAGGGATGCGAACCAATTCCGCTGGTGTATATGACAGTTATGCACCTCAAGGTCACTATACGGCTACATATACGCACTGTCAAGTTGGCCGACTTCTGAAACGTGAGGTGGCAGACTGGGCTTTCCTCTGAACGGCGGTCACTTACCTCACGGGTATCCACACTGTAATGTTTGTTTATGTGTTAGGTTGTGGGGCGTTTGTGTCTAAGCTTGTCGCCTCCCTGACCTTGTTATGGGTAAATCTGCACTACTTTAGTTTATGCTCGAGGGAAGACATCGGCAGATGTAGTGAACCACGTGTCCCATCTGTGTGAGACCCTGCGGGACAAAGCGGAGTCCCGTAACTCAAGCAAGAAGCCTACGGCCGTCCCGCCGGGATACTTACTCTCACCTTTAGTTTAATGGATTTGCTTTGGCAATGCTATGTGCTGCTGCTGCATATCGATCTTGTCACGGTAAACTTAACCCTGATAGCAAGAGAAAAAAAAAAAATGCTAAGAGCTGTTTCCTCAAGTGTGTTTGAGTAAAACCAAACCAAAATGAAATAAAGTTGACTGAACTGTTTACTGAACAGAAATAAATTAAAACCAGGTGACGTCAAGCCGGAGAAGGTGAGCTTTAGTTTCATGTCAGGAGACAAAGTGAAACAGAAGAGCTAGAAAACAAAAGGGAGGTAGAAAGTGCACCGCATTGTTTCAGAATAATATATATGAAGACACCAACAGCAGGACAGACATATAGAGATGGAACAGAAGGGGACACACACAGCGTACCACATGCCAGAGGTCAAAGGATGCATTAACAGAGCACCCCCCGGGGGTAATTGGAGGAAATACATGCATTCAGTGCTCGCTCTCTCACGCTCAGGTGTAACGTTGTGTCAACGCAGCAGGTTCATTGCATCCCAGCACCCACTCAACCAACCCCATCCCACCCATTCTGCACCAACAAGCTGCACAGGTAGAAAGAGAAGATGAGTTAAAATGGTCCACGTCTGCTGCCATGGCTTTCTGGCATCTTCCGCCCACTGTAAGTGTATCCAAGTCTGAAGAATCGAATCTATAAAAGGAACCTCTAAACAAAAGGAGCATCATGAAAACAAAATGCATTAATTTTTTCACAGAAAAAAAAGTTTATCTAGGCAATCTTTCATCAAAATGTAATAAGTTGCTCTGCCTCTGAGGCAACTTTTGCCTTATTTTTCAATTCCAATTTTCCAATCAGTTCCTAATTGAAAAAAGTTGTTCTCCAATATCCCATTTCACTAAGAAACACGCCAGATTACAAAAATAAAATGGGTTTTGAATGCCAGTTCATGTTGAGTTTAAACTTTTTTTTTAACCTTTACACTAAAACACATGAAAGCATTAAAATCTAATCTAAGCTCAATTACAGGAATCGTTTTGAAGGTGCACAGAATTTTTTCTTTGTTTATTTTTTCTTGGAAGCTAGCTAGCATCATGTGGAACTATAGAAATGCCATATTCACAAGTGCATTTGTCACCCATAATTAATTTACTCTGAAACTGAAAGTGTTCTGTGCTCAAAAAAAATTTATAATTTTAATCACTCAGAGAAATACAAGTGAAATATCTCTTAGCTTGGTATAAAAGACTGAGGCCACAATGAAAATAAAAATAGATGCATTTTCACTCATGCTCTCAGACTTCTGGACCCCTTTGTTTGTACAAGCTGAACACAAGTAACTGCAATTTTTTAGCACGCCACATGCCAGCTGCAAGGTTCCCCACAAGCACTGATGAAGCACTGATGAATTCATGCACTGAATCATGATGCGACTCAGCGAGGGTGTATTTTTAGGCCGGAGGGTTGAATAATTCAGCCAGTCTCCCAGCGTAAATGCTGACTACCTGCAGGCTCCAGTGGCCACTGACTGCGCTGCTTTCAGTAATACACAGTGAGGGACTAGATGTGGTGAAAAGCCATGGCAGACCCCAGAGTCAATAATATGTTGTGCGCTTCAGTCGCATGGGAGGAAAAAAATTGCATTTGCTGTTGACACATGAAAAAGAAATACGAACACAGAAGAAAGAAGGGAGCGCGCAGGGGAGCCGAACGGCACGCTTGCTGCAGATCAATCAACCCACATTGATTTGTTTGTTTCACATGTAGGAAATCTCTGAAGTACATAACTGTGACATAGAGAGACCCAGATGAAAGAATAACCAAACAAAGAAGAAAAAGAAGTGCGTGTGACACAATCCAAGGGGAGAAGAATCCATTAAACGAAACAACACAGGCCATTTAAAAGTTTGGGCTTTAACATTTAGACGCTTAATCAAAATAAATAGTAATGTTTAAAACATCAAAGTAAGAGGGCCTCATTCATGAAACTCAAGCAGAACTAATCGCGCAAATCGCGCCTACAACCATTCTTACATAAACTGATGCGTTTTCAGTGATTTACATAAGAATGTTTTCACAAACAATTTACACAAAAATCGTTCTGCTCGTTTTTATCGTCTTATTAAAAACAAGTTCTCAACATGCACAGAAAGAAAATATTCAAAAGCTTTGCCAAGTCATTTGGAAATATTCTCATCAAAATAACATCACCTTTGCTACCTGCATGTAGAAAAACTCACTTCTGGCTCAAAGATGATGCTGTTTTGCGCAATTTAGATGCATAAACAAACACAACACAAAAAACCACTGCCAGAAAACCCAAAGCAAAACACCTGTCATAAACCAGGGACCAGACAAGTGTCCGTTCTTTAACACATATCTGCTGCAGACACAAGCACACCATTATCATTTACTCGTGACATTTCTGGAGTCGATAAACAATATCCCTGGATTGGGAAACGAGGGTGAAGGTTACAGTGGCCCTTTCAAACAGTGTTGTTGTATCCCGACCCCATCGAAAGCTCAAAATAGCCATTATGTCTTGGCATTTCTCAATCAAAATACAATATTAGACCCCCCAACCCTTCACATTCGGGTCCTTAGGAAAGGAAATGGACTACATACTGGCTTGGGATGTCCTTTGGGATATTTCGTTGGTGAAGGCTCCAATGCCTTTGTTGGAGATGGCAGCCAGAGAGAAGTAGTACTCTGTATTTGCACGCAGACCCTCCACCACATAGGAAGAGGTTGGGCCGAATGTTTTCTTTACCTGTTTGGTGGAAAATAATAATGTTACTGCGAATGACATGTGCAACAGTGGTCCTGACAATGTATTTGAGAAGGTTTGTTGTAAAGAAGGCACCTGAGATTCTTGCCCGCCCTCTTTGTAATGTAGTTCGTAACTGATGATTCCCTCTTTTTCAAAGGCCGGTTCCCATGTTAGCTCAACGCTCGTGTCTGACACCTCACCAACCTGGAAGTTGGTCGGCTGTCCAGGGACTACAAATGGAGCCAGTGTTGTCAGATTAATAGACAAGAAATTTTATAAACAAAGAGATTTACAACTGTAAATTTAGTGAATGTGGTAGAAAAAAAAACATTTACTCAGTGGCAACTGAATGATTACCAGGTTAAAGTAGTGTACTTACATTTTTGTAACCCTGAAATTTACAATTGCTCAAATGATTTCGCCAACTCATACCCAATCATTAACCTCATCTTGTTATGTTTTTGACTCAACAACAATAAAAATTGACATTTCCAAAGCTAAAGTAACGTTTCTACATCTTTTCTACACTGTTACCTCACCTAATACTAACAATGGACATTTCCGATTGCGAAACTCACCATGCTACATCGTTAGCCCACCACACATTGACAACAGATATTTGCAGTCGCTAAATTCAATTTGCTATTAGTTTACTCAATATTAGCAACAGACATTTTTCAATTGATAAGCTGACTTTGCTACACTGTTATCACCCAGTACTAACAACAGACATTTCCAATTGCGAAACTTAACTTGCTGTCGTTAGCCCACCAAACACTGAAAACAGACTTTATAAATCACTAAATTCACTTTGCTACACAGCTACCTCACCCAAAACCGACAAACAGTGGCGATCCTAGACTTCTGGGGGCCCTATGCAAAACTGTGTCGGGGTGGGGGTGGGGTGTGTGTGAATGAAAGAATGAATGAAACACATTTGTCTGTGTTTCACTCCGTCTCGAATCGCACTCACGTAAAGAGCTTGAGAAACAGTGTCTCTTTCGCGGCTCGGTACGCTTTCAACTCGTTTCTTTAGTCTCAAGCAAGAGACTGTACGACATTCACGTTACATGATTTGACTGATTTTTACGTAGAAAGGGTGACAGTGCACCGCATTAAAAGAAATGGACATTCATGTTTTCATAACCGCTGGCCAAATTCAAAAACAAAACTAAAATTAAATAATCTTTGACAGCAAGGGGGCCCCCTGTTGTTTCGGGGGCCCTACGCACCTTGCGTATTTTGTGTATAGGGAGGATCGGCTCTGCTCACAAAGGACATTTCCAACCGTAAAACTCACCTTGCTACATCGTTAGCCCACCAAAAACTCACAAGACGCTTTTCATTTGCTAAATTTCAATCGCGAAATATTAGCAACAGGCAGTTTCAAATTCACCTTGCTTCAAATTCACCATTAGCTCAACCAAAAAATAAAATTTTCAACACTATTAGTTCACCCAATTTTAGCAACAGACATTTTTCAATTGTTAAACTCACCTTGCTACACCATTAGCTCAACCAATACAAACAATGTACATTTTCAATTGCAAAACTCACCTATCTACATTGTTAGCCCACCAAACACTGACAACAGACATTTGTCAATTGCTAAATAATAACAGTAGACATTTTTAAACTCACCTTGCTACGCCATTAGCTCAACCAATAACAATGTGCATTTCCAATTGCGAAACTTACCTTGTTACATCATTAGCTTACCAAACAGTGACAACAGACATTTTTCAATCACTAAGCTCATTTTGCTACATTTTTAGCCCACCGAACACAAAAAACAGACTTTATCAATCTCTAAATTCAATTTGCTTCCCCCAATATTCGCAACAAACATTCTTCAGTTGCGAAACCCGCCATGCTACATCTTTCGCTCACCCAACACTTTAAATAGACACTTAAAATTGACAAACTGTTGGCGCCAATGGCCTCGTGAGATTGACAAAAAAAAAAAAAAGACAAACTAACCTCCTTGAAGCACTTTTACATGAATGGGATCCGAGAAGGGTCCATCTCCTACGGACGTGAAGGCCAGCACTCTGATGGTGTAGGTCTCGGAGGCCACCAGACTTTGAATGGTGGTGATCACGCTGTCCTGTACGTTGTGGATGTGCCACATGCTCATGGGCTGAGATGGATCCATGGTGTAGTAGACCCGATAACCTTTGATCTGTCCATTGGGCTCCTCAGGTTCATCCCAGCGTACCATCATGGTGTTCTGGGAGATGATACGGGCCTGGATATTGCGTGGTGGGCTGGCAGGAGCTTGCTCCCCAGTCCTAGCCTCAACTGGTTCGCTGGGCGGGCCCTGGCCAATGGTGTTGAAGGCTGACACGCGGATCTCGTAATCAGTGTTTGGAGAAAGTCCGCCGATGCTGTAGCGAGTGGTGGTGATGGAGTCCACGGTCTCGAACTTGCTTTCAGGAGATTTGGCGCGATACTGGATGATGTAATGGGAGACGGGCTCAGGGTTGCCACTGTCCCAGGTGATGGTGATACTGGTGGCGGTAGTTTCGGTTACGACAGGAGTACCTGGAGGTTTCGGCAAGGCTGCAAGTAGGGGATAAGAAAATACCATATACTTAAACATTCAATACTGAGACTAAACACTTTCTGAAATACTTGCTTTGGCTTAGTTTTAATTTCTTTTGACCAGAGATCCTTCGAGTGACCTTGTAGGACTCAACGGAATCTTACACTTGACAATGATCTGGGAATTAGCCTCGATGATGCCCAGGCTGCTCATGGCCACGCAGGTGTAGTTGGCTGACTCACGGACGCTGTTTAACTCCAGAACGTTCCTGCCCACTGGCATCACGTCCTCGGGCGTCAGGTCCTCCGAGTTAAGCATCCACTTGACGTAGGGCATGGGCGAGCCAACGGCGACGCAAGTGATGTTAACGCTACCACCTGGCATGATCTCTTGCATGGTGGGGGGCGTGATGGAGAAACGTGGGGGCACGCGACGAACTGCAAAGGGCGAAGGAATGGCGACAAGAAAAAGAGAAGAGAAAGGTAATGACACGCCGATGAAAATGAGCCTTTCTTTAGAACGTACATGATGTTGTCTAAAGAGAGAACAACAAATTATAAAAAAATGAGACTAAAACTTCACAAACATTTCAGTTTATACAAATTAAAATAATGATAAAGTAACTAAATTAACAAAACTGCTTCACCAACAATATAGATTGACATTAAAGCAACAAGTTCATAGCAACAAGGTTCCATTGACCAATATTTGACCCATCACAGCACAATTAATTGCACAAAAATCTATTATGAGTTTCTCATCTTTAAAATGAGATCTCTATGTGGCTTATAACTACAGTAAACAAAATGAAAAGCATGAATTACTGTTAAAAAGCAGAACAAACTTTACAGAAAATACTCTGAGAGCATAAAATAGTGCGAACAACAAAACTTTTTTAAATTTGTTTTTTAAATCTGCCCATGCTAAAGAAACCTTACATATGTATGACTGTACGTACACGTTGTTACGTACATGCACTAGTAATGTGAGTCCCTCCAAGAGGGACTAAAGATGAGAAACCTTAATCAGATTTTTGTGGTTGAGAGTAGATCAACTGGACAAAGCCTTTTTAAGATCTGACACGCTTCCATTGATAGATGCAGCTGTCATTTTCACAGACATCATGCAGAAATAGGTAGAGGTCAACCAAAGAGTAAATGGGAACAATAAAACCAGAGAGAAGAATTTGAGATAAAATGCATAGAGGAATATAACTGAAGGGTCGCTAGCATGCCCGGACAAAAGACAACTGGAGAGGAAAAAAAAGAGAAATATAAGAGAATAGAACGCGCAAAAGAGCCAGAAAGAGGAAGAAAGGGAAGGGTTGGGAAAAGGAACGAGGGGGAAACCCACTTCAATGCAGAGAAAGGCTTTTTTATCGTCTCCAGCCAATATGACGTAATGTGACAGGATCGTATTGTCACATTTGGCTAGACGTAACACAAAATTTACAGCGGAAATTCTGGATTCAGTCAATAAGTAGCTGGTGGTTCAACTCAACTAACTATCACACAACAATAAAACAATAAAAAGAAAGAAAATTATTACAAATTGACCAAAAAAGGGCACATGATTGGTACAGATTCTAGTCTACGATGATGACTGCGAAGCACCTCAACTATTGAGATGCCAAACCTACACACGAGAGAAAAGATGAAGGATCTGTTGGGGGAAAGGGTTCGATATGAGTTATGGCAGCGATAGAGATGGCCAGGTTGTGCAACAGGCTTTTTTCATAGCCTGTCTGGCATGTTCATTCTTGGTAACCTTGCTATTTTGACGTGACTCGTTAAAAAGTCAAGAAACAATGGAAACATATAAGACTTTAAAATACAGACTCTGTTCCAAAACCTTCTACAGATACCTTCTAAGGAAACTTTCTACAAATATTCTAAAGACCCAACTCACAACTGTTTCCAATTGAGTCTGACACAATTGTTGGGTAAAGCAGTCAATTTTTAATTAGACTGAAACATCTTGAATGAAATTATTCCATAAACTTTGTCCTTTTGTGTGGATTTTGGGATTGACTTTTTACCACAAGGATACATGCAATTCTCTTATCACTTAGCCAAAACTAGATATCTTAGAAAGCAATATAAAGTTGTTTAAGAAACACTGGGTGTTAGGTGTACGTTTATACATCTAGGTAGTTATCTTGCAAGGTTTTGGAACAGCGCATTTATAATTAGAATACAAATGTTACTAGTAGTAGCGTTCAGGTTAAAGAAGTGCTACCTGTTACATGTAAAATTTAGTATTGCACCAAACTTTATAGTTTGGTTTCCCCAAGAATCTTCAAGGCAACTGCACTGCCTTATTGATGCCGGTGGATGTAAAATGACAATGAAACAAGAAGTAGGGTGGTGCTAGGTGTGTCCTAAGATGGCGGGTGGTGAGGGGGTCATGCCTCATTTACATTTGGCAAGAGGAGAAAGGAAAGACAGAGGGACAGCAATGGGTGCTGGGGCTAGCTTTTTGAAAAAAAACAACAACCAAACTTTAAACCAAATTAACAACCACACAAAGACACAACGAGGACAGGAACAACAGGTAGAGATAGGGCACAAGCAGAACAAGACCTAGGCTGCAAGACAGCAGACGGGGGCCGAACAGATGGGAAGGACAAAATGGTGGATGTACATGTGGGACAGAGACAGAAGAGAAATAACACAGGGAGTGAGAGGTGGGGACTGGGGCAAAGAGGAGACTGTAACCCTGGGCCAACTGGAGTAAAAGCATGTTGTTTTGACTTCTCACACAATGGGGCTTGAAATACACGATTAAACTCTCACCATCGCCTCGGACAACAGCAGCCAAAGAGCATAAAGTCTTGAATTTGTAAACACCATCGAAAGTTCAGTGGGTTTAAATCTAGTTTGAATGTTTAGAACATTTCGAATTTTAAAACCTTTTTGAAAATAAACATTACTGAGTACTTTTAAATTTAGAAATGCTGTTATAGTTAGTCAAGGTAACAGGCTCTACTCTAATTAAACGAATATATTCACAGTTTCAGAGAGACAGTTTGACGAATGATCTCGGTTGGTGTACAGTGAGTGAAAATCACATTATAACTCAATCCATTTCATAATCATGGAGTAAAACAAGATCAAGTTAACTTTGTCATTAGTTTATAAATTTATAATAATATTTAACAGTTTTTTAAATACATTTTATAATAAATTTATTCATTTTAATAATGATTATTTTTTTTAAGTTAGTAATTTAAGTAAGTTAGTAAGTTAAGCAAGTTAGTAATAGTAATCTATTTCTAGGACATTTCCAGGTTCAGTTGAAGTTAAGCTCTGTCCATAGTATTTGGAGGCATGATGATAACTTCCATAAAAAAGTTTTTTTCCTATATTTTTTATTATTATTTTAAAAACTTGGCTTAACTTAAAATAGTGTACATTTTTAATCCCGTAACTGAAATTTTATCCTTTTTTCCTAAATTATTTTCTGTGGTAATCAACATCACACCACAAATGCAACAGAGCAACATTTGCACTGAACCTGGATCACTCCCTTAATTCAGGAAAAATACTTCTTGATTTGTTTAGAAAACAAAAACAACATTAAAATAAACAATGACATACTCAAGCGACCCCCACCCCCATATAAATGCATATTGAACAAATGTTCAACAAAGTTGAAAGGGCAGCCCACATATCACAATGTTCATGCATGACCGTGATTGCAGGAATGGCGTCAACAGAACGGCACCAAACTATCAACCAGGCCTACAGCTACAGTCAACACATATTTGAGGCATGCAACCCCTCCCCAAGTGCAACATTTTATGGAATCCACACAACTGAAATGTCAAAATTGGTGAATTCGACACAGCACACACAGATAATCGCAGTGCAGGTGTGTTATAACAATGACAGAACACAGTGCAACGTGATAGTGACAAGACGAGCGTGATTCTTCTAGTGTGGATTAATGATGGAAAGTCCCAGACGTAATTTGCTGATGCTTAAGCATTTCCTGCACTGATTTTAGGAAAATAAATATGGTAAAATGTGGTAAATATGTTAAATAAGCCAATATATTAAATAAACACACATACTATGTGAGTTCCGCTGATACATATTGTGTGTGGGCCTGAAAATGGGTGATGCAACATTTGGCCGTTCTTAAACCAAGTCTACAAGAGGCTAAAAACTGAAGCTTGTTTTCCAAGGGTCAAATTCAGTTGACCAAGGTATTCATGCTAAGGTAGTTGAGCGAATGAGGGCTGCAACCTTTCACCTTGTGAATTATTCATCCTATTGTTGCACGCTCAATCTACACTTGAAAATTCCCGATTCTAATCAAAAGTCAGACTCAATTGGGTCATTTTCTAAATGGAACAACCATTTGAAAAGATCGCGAGGAGCCTGGCAACTTCAGAGTCACAGGCAGCAAAGCATCACGCTCAAATAAACTGTGGCAAAGGGGGGAATCCTAAGCGGGTCTAATGTTTTCAGATGCATGTCGACATTTATGGCTGCCACTATCGATGCATCGGCCTTTGAAATGCCATCGCATGAAGCCATCCTGGGCTTTATCTACGTCCTGACACATGGTCCTATAGCTCAAATCCTGACGTTTGATGTGCGATGGTGCTCTCCGCTGTGATATTTGGAGAAATATAAAACAGTCCAATCGGACGGACACGCTCCTCATTCACTACGACCAGGAGCCCAGCAGGTCGAGAGCGATCTCTTTCTGGTCTAGAGATTAAATCCCATTTCAAGCCCAATGTGGAGAGAAAGGCAACTCACGAGGTCTTACAATGGACAGAGAAAGACAAAATAAAAAGGCCAAAGAGTGCCTCACTCCTTGTGCTTCCTGACTAGGAAGAATCGAAGGTGGACATTCGCGGCCATTTTGGTGAGACAGTCTGTCCAGCCCCAAAATGAAGGTAGGAAGGGAGCCAAAATAATGCACAGCCTTTAAAGTCACCTTGAAGCTGAGATTACACCCTGTTTGATGTCCAAAACCCGCAATAATCCATTTCGCTTGAAGGTAGTGAGGCCATTTGCATGCAGACGGCAGGGGTTCCCCGTATTAACACACACACACACCTCCGCCACTGCAATGCAAAGCAGCCTCAGTTGGGGTTCGGACCAGTTCTAGTAATGAAAATTGGTGCATTTGTAAAACACTACCTCCTGATTGTCTGGCCAATGCATGAGTAGCGTTCAGCTAAATCCTGAGGCTGAACTGCATTTTAGATTTTGCACCAAAACCTGTCCCTTTATGACACTTATTCGGATCAAAGTTAGCCTTCGTTTCCACAAGTAGAGGGTGTGATCTAGCTTGCATTTCTATTTGAATACCAACACAGCATGCAAGGACATGCAAAACATCCCAAAGTGGTGGCAGTGGGGTTCACATGCATCTCCATGCGCATACACCGAACATACTCGTAGCATTTAGCATGGCA